CTCAAGAAATTTATAGAAGAGAATGCCATTAATCTGGATGAGGTAAACCAAGAACAAGTATTACAAATGATGAAAGAAAGAGAACCAACGCGGGTAAAAGGTCAACGAGTAAAGTATGACATGAGTAATTTCAGGTTGGTCGTTCCGTGTGAAAAGGAATATTGATTTAATTTTATTTTTTAAGATTAAATCAATATTTTTGTAGGATATTTATATGAGTAAACAAGAGATTATTAGTAATGTGTATTACGATCGCGCGGGATATGGGAGCAGACAGAGGACTTTAAAGGAAGCGCGGGAGAAAGATAAAAACATAACTATTGACGATGTTAATGAGTTTTTCAAGAAGAACGTAGAGGCAAAAAGAAAACCTGCGGGACAGAACAGTTTTGTAGCACCACATTCGGCATACGAGTATCAAATGGATTTGTTTTTTATCAATGATTTGGAAGATCAAAAGTTTAAGGTTGGTATGATCATGATAGATGTCTTTGATAAGTTTATGCATGTGGTAGCAATAAAAGGCAAGACAGAAGAGGATTTAGCGAGTGGTATGATTGAGTGTTTACATAAAATGGGGAAAAAGCCTAAAATATTATATACGGATGATGAAGGTGCTTTATCTAAAGAAGCTATACAAACATATTTAAAGGAGCAGAAGATAGAGCACCACAGGACAAGGGCACACGCAAATTTCAGTGAGAGGGCAATCAGAACTTTTAAGGACATGTTATATAAACGAGTTGAGGCGGATGAGAAAAAGGGCAAAAGTAATATCCAATGGACTGATTATATTTTTGAGATACTGATTACATATAACACTCAAATGAAACACTCCGCTACAAAATTCACGCCGAAAGAGGCGCGAAAACCAAGTAATCAGTTTGCGGTCAGGTTGAATATTGCTAGTAGTGGTAAACGGAATAGGATATATCCGGATCTTGACAAGGGTGACGAAGTCAAGATATTCAGGAAGCGAAAACCGAATGAGAAGGAAAGGGTCGGAAATTTCAGCAAAAATGTGTATACTGTTGAGAGAATAGAAAAGAAATTTAGTCAAAGTCATTATTATGTGGAAGGTAACCCTGACCGTCCCTATCTTCGTTTTGAGTTGTTGAAAGTCTAATATTCTTTAGAACTAATTTCTTAAGAAAAGTATTTAAAGAAAAAACAAGTTTATATTATAGTGAAAATGAGTGACAGTGAGTATGGAAGTGAAAGTGAATACGAAAGTGAAAGTGATGATGAAACTGAAAACTTTTATTACGAATTAAAGAAATCCAATTATTTCAAAAACTGTATTTCATGTAGACAAATTAAGAACAAACAACAAATCCTGTTAGATAAATGTGATGCCTTACATGATGTAACACATATGATTACAGACTACTATGGCTGTGATAGATGCTGTAAGTTAAGGAATTTATTTGATGACTACATAATTCCCTTTACTAAAGTATATGAATATCCAGAATATGATGAAGCTCATAGAATACTACGAGATTATGTAGACAAGGAAAAATATACACATGAGTTACACGTTGAAATGAAAACAATGTATGAGAACCTAGATAAATTTGAATTCTATAAATGGCATCAGGAGAAAAAGAAATGTTTCAATGACCATGATTATTTTCATCATTATCAACGAGTGCATACGTTTTTTCTTGAAATAATATATTCTATAATTGGTTTCAATCGCAGATTATCTTCTGACCATTTAAAAGAAACAACACGGTTCATACAGGAAATGATTATACACAATAGTGTGTAAAGTAGCCTAGCAATTATATAACAGAACAAAAACTATAATGATCATAATATTATTAATGATGTTAATAATATTATGCTCCATTTTCTGAAATATAATTCTTTTAATTAATATTCTTCAGAAATGTATTTAAAGAAATATTGTTTATATATATTAGTTAAAATGTTTAAATTTGGAGAATGTTGGAAATGTAACACAATCCAAAACAGCAAGATCTTAAATCACAAACTACCGTTTGACGTATGCCAACGCATATGTGAATATAACAAATGTGACACATGTAGGAACAAAATTGAAACAATGAACAATTTTGATGAAAGCTCGTATTGGTCAAAACTTAACAAAGTGCAAAGAATAATTTTACATTTATTGTTTCATAATTTTGCCATTGACACCAATATGGATAGAAGAAAGTATAAGAATATCATTAAACGGTCAAAGAACCCACAGCGCAAGATTATGAAACAGTTTATAAATATTTCGCATAATGTGGATAAAACAAGCTATACACTTTACGGTGTTTGTCATGTTTCATTGATGTATAGTATTATTACACGTTTATATTACACGGATAAGGTTTTAGCAGAAATAGAGTATTACAACTTAAAAACTGCAACTTTTCGGTTCAATGGGTTTACTCTCAGTAAAAAAGTGATACTAAAAGAAATAATTCGTGAATGTTTTGATTTCTGGCTCGTTGGTTGGAGAGACTATTATAACACAACAACAGAGGAAATTATGGAATACGTAGATTATATATTTTCATTGTAACTAACGATCATATTATTATTTTGGATCTTAATAATATGATGGTTAAGCGCTTTTTTCAGTAACTTGATTTTTTTTATTTTGTTTTCTATTTGTTTTGTTGGTTTCTTGTTTTTTGTTTGTTTTTGCTCTGTGTTTTGTAGGAGTTTTTAATATGTATCAATATTTTTTTAATATTTAATACAAATAAACACCCCAAAAATCCCTACACCATATGTGTCAAACTTGATTTTATTGTTTATTTTTTGTTGTATTTTTGTTTTTATCGTTTTTACGTTTTTGGTTTCGTTTTATATATTAAAACATCTATAAAAATTAACCAAGGCACTAGTTGGTGTAGAGGTGGCTCGGCTTGTTCTCGGTGGCACTGTAGGGCACGAGGTTGCATGTAGTCCGTCGGTCTCCTTGCAAGGCGTAAGTGGGAGAGGAGCGGGGTTAGGGGGTCGGGTTAAGGCTTAAGGAGCTTAAGAACACAGTCCCGCAACCCTTGGGACTGCCAGTCCCGCCCCCCTTGGGACCCCCAGTCCCGCAGTCCCGCCCCCCTTGGGACCCCCAGTCCCGCAGTCCCGCCCGTTTTGGGGCAATGCCCCCAATTCCTTGGGACTGCCAGTCCCGCGACCCTTGGGACTGAACATTTGGCTCTCTTTTCACTTTGGGTTTCCAGCCTGTGCGATGCTAGGAAACTGGGCATGAAAAAGGCATCACATGCCTCACGCCACAACACAGTTTGAGGGCTCGTGTTCCCCCTCTGGGGACTGTGCAGTCTGGGAACTTTGTGTCCCCTTGCGCCTACCTTCCTCAAAACGAATGTCGTCACAAAACTGGCTGTTAGCACACTGTGCCTCACCGTCTTTGAACTGGTGATAGAAATCAATATACAAGTGCACAAACTCCTGTGTGATTTCCTCTTTGAGGCGGACAATGCTCAAACCAGCTGTCTCCAACTCACACATGGTCGGAAAGATGAACTCAATCACCTTCAACAGCCTCTCGGTCGTAGTGCCACGGCGCTTATCGTAGGACATGATCTCCTTGATGGTCTTGAGCTGGTCGTCTGTCACACGCCTCAAGCCCACTTGAATGGCATTGATGCCCTGCGACTTCATCAAACGGATCTCCGCCATCATGTTGGTGTAGATGTCGGTGAACTCCTTGAACTTCTGGGGAAGGTCCACGTTCACAGGCACTTCGGTTTTCACGATGCCCTTGGTGGACTTGGTCTTGAGGTGCTTCACGGCTTCGTCCTTTTTGAGGTAGCGGGTCAAAGCACCACCCGCCAAGTTCGGAGTGATGTAGAAGGTCTTGTATTCCTGATCCACAATGTCACCAATGCGCTTGTTCTCGTCGATGATCTTGATGAAAAACAAATCCCGCCGAAAGTCCACGCGGAACTCGTTGAGGTCAATCCCGTAGTCCTTCTTCGCCATCTTCTTGAGGTCGGCGATCGTGTCGGTGTAGGAGACGATGAAAGGCATACAACGGTGCTTGTCGTCCTTAACCTGCACAAAGACAGAAAAGACACCCTTGGGAAGGAACTCGGTCGGATCGTTCAGGTAATTCTTGGGAAGGCGAAGAGGGCTGTCAGCACTTGCATGAGAAAGAACGCTGTCGGCATCACTTTCTTGCAACTCTACGGCTTCTTTGTCGTCCTCTACTTCTTCCTCTTCGGCTTCTTTCTCTTCGGCTTCTTCGTCGTCCTCTGCTTCTTCCTCTTCGGCTTCTTCGTCGTCCTCTGCTTCCTCCTCTTCGGCTTCTTCCTCTTCGGCTTCTTCGTCGTCCTCTGCTTCTTCCTCTTCGGCTTCTTCGTCGTAGTCGTCCTCTGCTTCTTCCTCTTCGGCTTCTTCGTCGTCCTCTGCTTCTTCCTCTTCGGCTTCTGAAGGGGGCTCGGTCATGACAGCGGTGTGTTTGTATTTTGGTCCTTCTCGGCGTCGGGAAAGCTGACACTTGACACTCATCTGGTTGAAGATGTCATCGTAATGCTCCCAGACAAGCTCAATCAACTGGTCTCTGTTTGCCTTTTTGGGAAAGGTGACGTAACCCTCCAACAGCAAACGCTTCAAGTCACCGACCGACAACTTGCTGAGCTCATACTTGTCACAACTCCACGGCTCATACGCCCGATCGGAAAGCAAGAAATCGCCGGTCGTCACCATCATCGGGATGATCTTGCCCTTGCGCTCCAAGAAGATGAGGGACATGGCTTCAGGGCACTAAACGAATTTTGAAACACTTTGAAACACCAAAACGGCTTACAATCATCACAGACATGCTCCGCTCAACACCTGTTGCAAAACAAGGCTCACGAACTACACTCACATGCACAAGCTGATAGCAGATGCATTTCCGACTGAACCTGCTGTTCGGATCAGGCTCGGCAGATAGTCTTTGATGCTTTAAGCATCTTTTTATGCATCACCTTGTGTGACGCACACAAAACCTCACGGACTGGAACCATTGGAACTTAGTTGTCGTCGACGTAATAGTCGTCGCCGTAGTATCGAGCCCAGTAGTCGCCTGCCCAATCTTGATCGGCTTGACACTGCTCTTCAAAGCAAATGTCATGAAGACGATCTGCAAGGACTACGGCATACTCACAGGTGAGCGCAACTTCTTCATCATATTGGTCCCCCTCGTAGATGTTCTCGTGCGCCCATTCCTCTGCATCCTCCAAATACTCAGAGGAAACCGGCTTAACATCATTCTCATTGATGTAGTGCAAGACCTCCAAGGTAATGGTCTTGAGATGCTTCTGGGTCAGGATGTAGCCTCGCTGAAACACGAGACGAAGGACTAGGCTCTGCTCACACAGCACAGCCACATCCGCATCCTGCATCGCCTCGCCCACACCCTCGGAGATGCTCTCGTAGTACTCGGGCAGGTAGATCTCGCGCTCCACAGTGATGGCTACACACTTCTCAGTCAGCACATCACGCACGGTCTGGTGATCTTGGATGTCCTCGCCCATCACCGTGAAATGAACGATCGGGTCAAACTGGGTAACGACTGTGAACTTCAGCTTATGGACTGGCAGTTTGTTATTCAGCTTCATCTCACCCAGCGCCTCCATGAAATTTGTGCTCAGGGCGAGGGTGCAAGTGCCAGAATACTGGTCGCCACTGCCACTGGTAAAGTCATCCACGGTCACGTCAAGCAACTTGTCTTGGGGCAAGTAAGTGAAGAGAACCTGCGCACCTGTGAGCTCGTAGAAGGGCTCGTCGGGCATGCTTCTAATCACATTGCATTTGTTCAGGAACCTTGTAGTAACCACAGGAGGAGCATCAAGGATATCCAGTCTGTGGAAAAGCATACTCCACGTGTCCCACTTTGGCACAAACATGGTTCTCTCTTGTTGGCTTGGGAAGGTGTAGCGGAGTGCACAGACATCCTTGGCTTCGTAGATGAAAACCTTCTGCGTGTCCTCCGGAAAGAGGTCGCCGATCTTGCTTGCTGGAGACTGCTGGTCAATCCACACAGAGCGATAAGGATCTCGCCCCTGAAAGGCTTCCACGATGTAGCCCTCAACATTGGCACTGTCCACGGACTGAAGAATGAAATCGCCGAAGGTGGTCTGCACGGGCAACTGCATCATTCTGAAACCCTCGTCATGGACGCACTCAAACGCCATGATCTGCTGAGACGCCATGACTTCAAGAGGGAGGGACAGCGAGGGGAAACAAGCACTCTAACCTGTGAGTTGGGAAAAGCCTTCAAAAATCAAACGTTGTGCTCATGCGCATTCAATGCTTTCAATGCATCGGCTTCACTGGCAGACTGTTGCAAAATCGGACACTAAACCCTAAAACCCTAAACCCTTGCATCCAGTCCTTCAGAATGTCGTGGTAGTCGTGGTGGTCGTGGTGGTCGGATGCTCTCAGGGAGCTCGTTCAATACTACAACCTTTGAAACCAAACCTAATAAAATCTATCTACCTACTCATGCCCATTGTGACCTAGATGTATCCGCCTTGATCCTAGGTAATTTCTTGTGTGGGATAGATACTTTGTTGGTGTAGTGGTGATTTTGGGGGAATATGGTATTTTTTGGATATGGATAATGGGGATACTGTTGTGATAATGGTTGTTGAGCGTAGGGGGGGGTATGGCGGTTACATCTAGACCAAAATGGGCATGATATCACCTAACTGAAGGGGCACACGGCGTGCGGCCATACCGGGGTTTACGAAAAAAAAGGGGGAACCCCCCAATTTAGATCCCCAAATGGGATTCCCTTATAATTTATAATAAGGACCCCTATAAGGTACCCCTAGTTTAGGAAACCCATATTCTTCAGCCTAACTGCTGGGCCCTGAGTTACCCTCCCGTCCGCAAGCCCTGGGACAAGCAGAGTCCTGAACCTCAACCTTCCAGGAAGTCTAGAAAACCGTGGCACCGATGTAAACTTGGAACGAACCGCATCCGCTTCGTAGAGGCTTACGCCGAAATTTACTTGAATCCGAAGCCCTAGGAAGACCCTAACCCCTAAACCCTAAACCCTAAACCCTAACCCTAAACCCTAAACCCTAAACCAAAATGGAGAATTCAGACGTGTGGCACTCCGCCGCTTTTCCTGAACAGTCGCTTTGTTTGTCAAGGCTCGTTGCAGGGCAATCCTAAAACACTGATGCCGCAAATTCATCCTCCTTCATGGGGGTTTGGTGTTTGGTGAGGGAAAAAATCAAACAGGAATCCACAGAAATCGAAATCCAGGGATCAAAGAAGGATCAAGCACTGAAAGCCCTAGAGGACAAGTACTGTAAAGTAAGACATTTCTGCCTATTCGCAGGCAGCAGATATTGTCAATTGCAGCATTTGTGCCTATTCCAAACACGACAAGTTGCGCCATTTCCACCTTTCACAAACTGCAAATATGGTAAATTGAAAGCAGTTCTGCCTATTCACAAGCATCAAAATACCAAAATATGGCTTGAGCTTCATAGCAGCGATTTGCAACAGTGTCAGTGCAGCCCTTTTGCTTTGCCGAGTCTTTCATTGGATTTTTAGGTCTCGCCCTAAACCCTAAACCCTAAACCCTAAACCCTAAACCCTAAACCCTAAACCCTAAACCCTAAACCCTAAACCCTAAAGGGGAAAGGTTCCAAACCATGGGCTTGGTGTTGCTTTCCGCTTTGCCAGGGCTGAGGCCTTTGAACAAATCTGGGTTTAGGGTTTAGGGTTTAGGGTTTAGGGTTTAGGGTTTAGGGTTTAGGGTTTAGGGTTTAGGGTTTAGGGTTTAGGGTTTAGGGTTTAGAGTTTAGGTTACGATATTCGGGCTTCCTCCTCCCTTCCTTTCCTTCCTTTCTGTCTTTTTGAAGGCTCTGAATTTGTTGATCACCGTTTTCCTTCATTGATCCCTGTTTGACGCTTCTGATTTCCGTCCGGTGGGTTTTGGGCTGACGTGGAATCTCAACTCTTATGTGGTTTACGTGGTGCATCCCCAGAGCCCATGACAGACCCCACGCTCGGAAGCACTCTCAACTTTTAACCTGCCTTCAAGGTTTTGGGTTTAGGGTTTAGGGTTTAGGGTTTAGGGTTTAGGTTTTAGGGTTTAGGGTTTAGGGTTCATTCCTTTCAGGTTCTTATAGCAGAGATCCCCCAAACGAACAGCTCAAAACCAGCCCGGCCGTCCTGGATCGCAAGTGCCTCCAGCTCGTCCTGGGCTTGCAGGGTTTGCGGGAGGAGTTGGGACCTGCACCTTCTTTGCTGGGGCATTGGGCTTGAGTGTTGCAATAGGGTAGCGTTTAGGGTTTAGGGTCGAGGGTTGAATGATTTCAGTTTCGGGCAGTTGGATGAAGCCTTTTGAGTCTACGGAGGCTTCAGGGACTCTTCAGGGAGCACGACATATGAAGCAACTGAGAGGGACCATCCACAGGGTTCTACCGTAGACTTCATACAAGTCTAAATCATCAAAAACCCAAATCCCATCTGAACCCTAGACCCTAAACCCTAAGCCCTAAGCCCTAAACCCTAAACCCTAAACCCTAAACCCTAAACAAGAAAAACAAATCCCATCTGAAACCGACCGTTTGTCTATTTGCGGCTCAGCTTCGCTGCTGAGCCCGCGAGGAGGCTTCGTGGCTGGCGTCGCCGGCCTCGGCGGCAAGTTATGGCAGGAATCATAGTTCGATTCGCCCCCCTGGCCCAAAGCAGCCCTAGCAATGCCCTAGCAATGCCCTCATAGAAACTCAGTCTCAAGAACACAGCTTTTAGGTCTAGGACTTTAGGCCTGGGGGTTCAGCCAAGCCATGCTAAACCCCCAAGCTCCAGCACAGACAGCTATGCTATGGGAGGCCAACCTGCGCCCGTCGCGCGTCACGGGGCGGTTAGGTGGAGCCGATGCCACCTGCTGCAAGCACACGAAGCTTCGTGCAGATCTTGGGAGTTTAGGCGCTTTGGGGCGCTTGAGGGCGCTTTCTTCTCACTTCGGTCCTTAGAAGATTTGGGCTCCACGGATTCCTATAAGAGGCCCAAGGCTAGGGCCACCGTGGAACAAGTTGAGAAGGTCATTAGACATTTGTTCCTCGCATGCCGCAGCTGTGATCGTGAGGGACCAAAGAGCGTCATCCAGGAATGGAAACTCTCCTGCCGTTGCAGCTAGCCTTCGGTGAATGGCAAGCGAAATGCCGGCGAGAAAGGCGCCGAGGAAGAGAAATAAGGAAGGGAAGACACAGAAGAAGAGACGGGGCAAGACAACCGCCAAACAGGGAAGCGAACCTGAGCGAATGCGCGCAGTGCAGGCCAACAGGGGAGCAAAAGGCTGCCAGGCTTGTTGTTAGCTGTCAGAAGGTACGTTGTTGAAGCTAACAACCATGGTTCATGTTGCTGTTTCGTCGCCCATAATTTCGGGTGATACAGTTTGGGCGTGCGCCCACAATGCAGAAGCTCCAGAACCTTTCAACAATCCCGAACGTCGCCCTCAGCCTCAATGCCCCCCCCCCCAAAAAAAAAAATAAAAAATAAAATAAAGTTTACTTCGAACATCCCCACCCTCTCTCGGTAGAGATATTCTGGGGTTGGCCACTCCAGGGACACTCTGGGGCTGGGCACTCCGGGGGCACTGGGGTTGGGCACTCCAGGCAGACTCTGGGCACTCCAGGGAGACTCTGGTGGTGGGCACTCCAGGGAGACTTTGGGGGTTGGGCACTCCAATAAGACTCTGGGCTGGGCACTCTCTGGGGTACTCCAGGGAGACTCTAAGGTTGAGACCGGGCGAGGAGAAGAGTTCCGGGCGAGGAGAAGAGTTGAGTTTGAAATCTAACAACCCCACACCGAGGGTGGGGAAAAAAGAACATCCCCAATACCTCAATTCAGAGAACGGAACACCGTAATTCATTAGGGCTGGGCCAGGAAAGGGATGTGCTAGGGCTTGCGGCGTGGGGATCTTGCGGAGTTTGGGCCACTTTGGGGCCTCGAAGCCTTCGGGGGGTTTCCGGCTGAGGGGGCTTTGGGAGCTCATTGGCGTGCAAAGCCCACCCTAAACCCTAAACCCCAAACCCCGAAACCCTAAACCCCAAACCCCAATACCCTAAAACCCTAAACCCTAAACCCTGTACCCTAAACCCTAAACCCTAATCCCTAAACCCAAAACCCAAACCCCTTGCAAACCCGAAGCCCAAGCCTGGAAGCCTTCAATCCGACAACCGTGCGGGCAGGGACCTCCCCTTTCTTCAGCTTTGAGGTCAGCAGGCCCTGGCTTTGTCTAGGGTTTAGGGTTTAGGGTTTAGGGTTTAGGGTTTAGGGTTTAGGGTTTAGGGTTTAGGGTTTAGGGTTTAGGGTTTAGGGTTTAGGGTTTAGGGTTTAGGGTTTTTAGTTTTTAGGTTTTAGGGTTTGGGGTTTGGGGTTTGGGGCTTGGGGCTTAGGGCTAGGGTTTAGGCTTTCGGCTTTGGGGTTTGGGCCCTAGGGCCCTTAGCCGACGTCCGCTAACTGACTCAAGACAGCTGAAGCCAAAACACTGTGGAACCCAAACCTCCCCCAAAACCCCTCAAGTTCAGAAAGAATAATCGCGGGCGAAAGCCGCATTGCTGATGCTTGCAGGTTGGGGCTTAGTGTCTCAAGTCTTCAGCTCAAGCAGCTTCAGGGTTCTGGAGTTGCGGGCACCAGTAGAGTTTCGGGCTTAGCGGCTTAGAGAGCCCAGGACACATATCTAGGAATCCGAAGCTGTGCCCTAACACCAAGCCGACGAGGAATCATGCAACAACGGCTTGAAGGGATGTAAGTGCTTTCTGGGGTTTAGGGAGTTTGGGGTGTCTTAGTGTAGGATTTAGAGGGTTTGGGGGGGGGAACAGGACCGCTGTTTGCCTCGCACTGGTGCAGGTCGTTGCCTCAGAGTCAGAGTCTTCACGCAGCCGACTGGATCTGACGTTCAGCGACCGTGTGTGGAGGCATGCAAGGCGGAAAGGCAGAAAAACTCAAAAGACAAAAACACGGCGTGCCCTTAACCTTCCGAAAAGTTCTGAAAATTAGCAAGTTGGCACTTGGCACCCAACACCTTTCCGAGGATGGCTCCAATAACAAGGCTCCGGACCCCCTGAGTGCTCCAGCTTGCGACCGGAAGGCATGCAGTTGCCGTGCTTGCACTGACACCATCTTACATCCTTTCCAGCCATGCCCACCCCTGCGCCCTAAACTCCGAAAAGATCAGCTAGGCTCCCGACGTAGTCGATGGACCTGAGCGCCACTTTAGGTTGCGGGCCTTATCAGGCTGCTTTTCTCTAGGACCTTTGCACTCGTATGACAAAAGCAGCAGCGCACGCCCTACAAACGTCCTGAATCCTAAAGCAAAGCCCCTGAACACTTAAACCCTGATTCCATCTGTGGGGTCCCGTAAAGAGGCCGCGCAAAAAAACTACAATCCTACACCATGAAAAGGGGACCCTCATTGGGGCCCCCCGCCAAGGCTTCCGACTGCTGCGCCTCCAGCTCCGCTGCTCGCAGCCGGCGCCGGAGGGCCAGGGCCTGTTTTGGAGCTTAGGGTTTAGGGTTTAGGGTTTCGGGTTTAGGGTTTAGGATTCATAGTATGGTAAGGGTCTTAGGTTTAGGGCCTCAGAGCTTTGGGTGCGGTATGGTAGGGTTTTAGGGCCTGGAGGTTGTAGAGCGTCAGGCTTTGGAGCGTTTTTGTTTTGGGGACATGCATGATGATCATGCAATGAGAGTCTAGAAGTTTTGGGGGGGTCTCGTATCTCGGGCTGTCTAGGGCTGCGGGATGCTGAGGGGTTTCAATACACCAGCATTTCGGGCAGGCACTTTGGGGGCTTTTGGGACTTCAGACAGTCCCTGAGGGGGGTTCTACCACTATCCCATGATTGACATGCTCGCGGCCTCAATGGCACTGCAACAAATAAGGCCCCAACGAAATCCCATAAGCTCTAACACCCAAAAGGTTAACAGGTATCCTGTCCCAAGACGCATTGTGCACCAGCGGCCCTGGCGAATCCCCTGTTGCGGCCTCCTCCTCTGCCGTGGTAAGCCTCTTGCGCAGCTCCTGTCTCTCAGGGTTCAGGGTCTGGGTTTTTGGGTTTCGGGTTGAAGCTCCGCAGCCCTAAGGTGTGTTTATAAGGAGACATCAGAAGCTTTCAACACCGACGTGCACGATGCAGCTGGTTGAAGGCTGCTCCTGGATCTCAATGGCTTGCCTGGTCCAAGGGTGGAGCTTTTTTCTAGGTGTGCCGAGGCCTGAGCTGGGGTTTTAGCTTGGTCTAGTTCGGCCCCGAAGGGTGTAGGCTTTTATTGTACTAAGCGTGGTGTTGTGCATGCGTGCGTGCCCCGACTCGACTCGACCTGACCCGAACCGGACCCGACCCACAGACACACAGGCACACAGACACGCAGGCACACACACACACACACACACACACACACACACACACACACACACACACACACACACACACACACACACACACACACACACACACACACACACCCCCACACACACACACACCCCCACACACACACACACACACACACACACACACACACACACACACACACACACACACACACACACACACACACACACACACACACACACACACACACACACACACACACACACACACACACACACACACACACACACACACGCACACAGAGACGCACTCAGAGACACACAGGCAGACACAGAGATAGAGAGAGACAGAGACACAGACGGAGACAGAGACGAAGACGGAGACAGAGACAGAGACAGAGACCGGTACACACTCCCACTCACAGAGACGCAGAGACAGAGAGAAGAGAGAGAGCGAGAAAGAAAACACACACACACACACACAGAGAAACACACACACCACACACATACACACAGACATACACACATGTGGGCAACCACCCTGAACCCCTTATTCGTACACGTACACGTATCCGCATCCGCAAACCAGCTCGCGCTCAGCACAGGAGGGACATGGCCAGCAGCGCACTTTAGGGCTTAGGGTTTAGGGTTTAGGATTTAGGGTTTAGTGAATGTCTGGCTTCATGCTGCGCATGTGAGTGATGTGCGGAGCACGTGCAGAGTTGAGGTGCGTGCACCAATCCAAGAAATCCAAGAAAGCTGGCATTGAAGCTAGCGCGTATGCTGACCCCTAAACCCTAAACCCTACACCCTAAACCCTAAACCCGAAACCCTAAACCCTAAACTCTAAACCCTAAACCCTAAACCCTAAACCCTAAACCCTAAACCCCAAACAACCCTAAACCCTAAACCCCAAACCCTAAGCCCTAAACCCTAAACCCTAAACCCTAAACCCTAAACCTTAAACCCTGAACCCTAAACCCTAAACCCTAAACCCTAAGCCCTAAACCCTAAACCCTAAACCTTAAAAAGACGACTCCCAAGAGGCCCTGGACCAGCCTGAGCTCCTTGACCGAGCGAGGGCCCTCCTCGGCCTCTGGAGCTCCAAGAGATGGGGTTTAGGGTTTAGGGTTTAGGGTTTAGGGTTTAGGGTTTAGGGTTTAGGGTTTAGGGTTTAGGGTTTAGGGTTTAGGGTTTAGGGTTTAGGGTTTAGGGTTTAGGGGGTTTAGGGTTTAGGGCCAGTTTAGGGTTTAGGGTTTCGGGTTTAGGGTTGAGGGTTTAGGGTGGGGGGCATTTCCAAAGTAGGGGGGGGGGGGGGGGGGCACCCCTTGCATACCCCAAATACAATAGAATCCCCCTTAAAGGGACCCCCCAAAAAAAGGGTACCCCTATTTTCGGAAAACCCCCAGATGCTAGAGAAGCTGTTGCAACTTCTTACGCTGACACTCAGCGAGCTTCAGAGGTTCTTAGGTGTATTTGGCGACATTTGTTAGTTGGGCAGAAGCCCCAAACCCTATAAACGGCCACACAAGGCCTCTGTCAAAGACCTTGCCTCAGAGATCTGATGATCTTTACCCCTAAACCCTAAACCCTTTTTATGACCTGCTGCCGCCCTTTTATGCTATGGGGCCTGAAGCCGGTCGGCTTTACAACGCGCGGAGGCCCTGCAACCCTGGAGTGTCAACGTTTCGTCTCCAAAAAAAGCTCAGCTGACCCTTCCAAATAGAGTACGTAGGGGTTGTTTGACGTAAAAAAACCCTAAATGCTTCCAAATAGAGTACGTAGGGGGGTCCTACGGCTTCTAATCGTAATCGCTGGCTTCATATTTTTGTTTTTGGTTGGGGGGGGGGGGGGCTAAGTCCAGCGGACGAGATCGTACAGAGGGGATCTGGCAGTGCCAGGAGCCTGCATGGGAGCCCGTAGCTGGAGGCGTGCCAAGGGCTGCACAACTCTGTACAACTCCGTACTAAAAACTCTACAGAACCTTTGCAGGCTTAGAGGGCTGTTGAGGTTTACGTGACTTTAGGGTACTTATAGGGATCCCGTAGTGCAGCTTTTTGGCTACCTTTGTCCGGCTTTTCGAGCCGAGTTGGGGCTTTTAATGCTCCGGCTGTCCTACATGTCCTACATGGCACCCTGCACTTTGCCGAGAGAGCTGTAGGCAGATGCAGCCTCCGGACCCTGAACAAGGTGTCCCTGCAGTGGAGAGAAGCAGATAAGCCCCAAATATCCCGACAGCCTCAAACACGAAACCCTTTCGTCCTTAGCGCCAGGGTTCAGGGTGCCTTCGCCCTTTTGCCCTACTTCTCATGGCACAGCCTGTCAAGCCACACGGCTGCGATTCAAGGTTGGGGGGGGGCTCATGGAAGGGTTCTAAGGGGATGAAGTTGAGGGTTTAGGGTTTAGGGGTTCGGGTTTAGGGTTTAGGGTTTAGGGTTTAGGGTGTTTTGGATGGAGCTCAAGGTCTCAGAGCTCAGTAGGCCATGCGGGAAGGCTCGGGAAGCTCGAGGCAAGGCGCTGTATTCAGAGGTCCCTTGACTGCCAGCTCCAGCTTAAGTTGGCCATGAACGGAAGCATGCTGAAATCCAACGCCGCCTCCCCGCCGAAACTCAAGCCTCCCAGGCCAACCCCTCAAGAAGTCAAGGGCATTCATGGGGGATCAAGCCAGAAAGCCTTCTGTCACGAAGCGCCCGGTCTTTTCTGCACCATTGCTCTCCGCGCAGCTTTGCGACAGCGCTCGTGCTGCAGCCTTCTTTGCGGTTTTGGACCCCTGTACTCAGCCCCTGCCAAACCCCAGCCCAAACCATCCCCAAAATCAGGATGCCCAGAGGTCAGGATTCCAAGACGCAAAACCCCATACCCCCAAAGTGTTGTGCCGCCCTTCGGGGGGTCCTACCAGTTGAAGCACAGGACAAAGATCCCAAAGGCTGCAAAACATAGATTACACTGTACATAGTAAAGCGGGTTGCGGCTTGAGTGGCTAGGGCAAATGGGACTCTCTCTGCTTCTTCGTTGAGGTACAACCACATCTTGCCAAATTCTGGCAGCTTCAGAACGACTCTACCAAAAAGGGACCAAAACCTCTCTCGGCAAAAAAAAGGGGAGAGGACCTCGGACCCCCCTCTAAGCTCAAAGCACCCCGAGAAGGCAGTTTTGCAAAGTTCCCTCCCCCCTTGCAGAGCCTCGAGCTTGGCCACCGCGGTCAGGGCGGCGCCGCGAGCCAACTGGTGGAAAATGAGCTTTGAATCAGCTTTGAATGAGCTTTGAATGAGCTTTGAATGAGCTTTGAATAGCTTTGAAAGTGCTTTGCATGATTTTTTGCATGAGGGCTCTTGAAGATTTAGGGGTTGTGGGGGGTTTAGGGTTTCTCGGCCGCTCTTGGTGGTGCCCTTCAGCTTGAACTATCAACTTCAGTGATGACATCGACCTGGAAGGCCAAAACCCAGCCCCGGAGATGAACCGGCAAATGCCAAACCCCGATGTCCCAAGCCGAAATGCGAGCTTCATCCTACAACGAAGACTCTGGAATGTGCGAACATCGACATTCTCAATAAAACATATACCCCACACGCTCAAAGATCAGCCGGCCAGTGCACCCCGAGACCCTTTCGGCATGTCCGAAACTCTTTACAATATAACAATCGCCTCGTATATTAATATACCAATATGCGGCGGCGTCAGTGAAGACCCACTGCGTGTTAGACCTTCCACCTCATCTATGACAGGCTTGCCGCTCCCACCCCCACCCCCCACCCCCACCCACCCCGCCATTCCCCATGGTCCCATGGCCCCAAGGCCCTAAGCTGAGTTTTAAGGGCTCCAGTTCGCACTTGCTCCACTTCCCCCCCCATGACCCTCTGGCCCCATGGCTTCATGGCCCCAGCGCCCCAGGGCCCTACCCCCATGGTTCCATGGCACTTTAAGGGCTCCGGTGCGTGCCCGCTTCCTCCGCTCCCCCCGACCGCTCCCCGTGGCCCTCTGGCCCCATGGCTTCATGGCCCCAGCGGCCCAGGCCCACCCCCAGGTCCATGGCCCTCTGGCCCCACGGCTTCATGGCCCCCGCAGCCTGGCTCCAGCCTTCTATCAAAAACGCTTCCTCCACTGCGCCCGACCACTCTTTCATGCCCTCTGCGGCCCAGCCCTGACACGCGCATGGTCCAGGGCCCCCATGGTCCCATGGCTGGCCCCATGTCCCCAGCGCTTCAGGGCCCAATTACATGGTCCCACCCCTACCCCCGGGTCCCCCCTGGCCTCAGCCTTCTTGCCAGGCTCCAATGCATGTTCGGCACCCGCCCTCTCCGCCCTGGCTATGGCTTCATGGCCCCAACAGCCCAGGCCTGTCCCATGGCCCCCAGGGCCACCCCCAGGTCCATGGCCCCAGCCTTCACCAGCCTTCACCATACCCCGTATTCCCATGACCCAGCCTTCTGCCAGTTGCTCCACCCGCCCCACGGACAAGGCAATGATTTAAAGGGTTCCAGCACACGCCCGCCCTCCCTGTGCCCCATGCCCTTGATGCAAATTCAAACGGGCTCCGGTGCACGCCCGCGCCCCCTCCCACTCCGCCCCCCCCCCCCCCCCAACCCCCACCCCACCCCACCCCCCCCCCACCACCCCCCCCCCCCCCACCCACCCCACCCCACCCCCGTCCCATGGCCTCAGCCTTTTTACCAGGCCCCAGCCTATTGACAGGGCAATGGCATTGCCCCCCCACCCCCACCCCACCCCCCCCCCCACCCCCCCACCACACCCCCCCCACCCCCCCCCACCCCCCCCCCCCCACCCCCCCCCCCCCCCCACCCCCCCCCCCCCCCCCACCCCCCCAACCCCCCCCCACCCCACACCCACCCCCACACCCCCCACCCCCCCCCCACCCCCCCCCCACCCCCCCCCACCCCCCCCCCTGCCCCGCCCCAACCTTTACCAGAGGCCTCAAGCTGAGTTTTGGGCTCAGTGCAATGCCTGCTGGCCCTCTTTGCTTCCATGGTTGAGTTTTAACGGTTTCCGCCCGACCGCCCCCATGGCCGATGGCTTCGCGTGTCCCAGTCTCTCCGCCCACTCCGGCCGCTCGCCGTAGCTGGCTTCATGGCCCCAGCACCCTCCCGCGCTCTCCGCCCACTCCGACCGCTCCCATGGCCCTCTGGCCCCATGGCTTCGAACATGGCCCCAGCACCCAGACCCTCACCATACCCAAGCTGAGTTTTGGGGCTCACCCCCCATGGTCCCATGCCCGCCCTCTCCGCCCACTTCCGACCGCTCCCCATGGCTGGCCCCATGGCTTCATGGCCCCAGCGCCCCAGGGCCCTACCCCCATGGTCCCATGGTTCAGCCTTCTACCATAGGCCCCAAGCTGAGTTTAAAGGGCTCCAGTGCCATTTTCCTCCACTCCCTGCCCACTCCGACTGCTACCCATGGCCCTCTGGCCCCATGGCTTCATGGCCCCAGCGGCCCCAGGCCCTAAGCTGAGGGCTCCAGCGCATGCCCCGCTTCCTCCACTTTCCGGGACCGCTCCCCATGGCCCTCTGGCCCACGGCTAGGGCTCACCCATGGTTAAGCCTTCGGCCCCAGCGGCCCAGGGCCTACCCCCAGGTCCAGCCCCGGCCTTCACCATACCCAAGCTGAGTTTTAGGGCTCACCCCCATTCTAACATGGCCCAGCCTTCTGCCATAGACGCTAAGTTGCTCCACCCCGCCCGCCCCAGCGCCCCTTCAGGGCCCTACCCCCATGGTCCCATGGCCCAGCCTTCTACCATAGGCCCTAAGCTGAGTTTAAAGGGGTCCAGTGCATGCTCCAAGGGCATGCCCGCTTCCTCCACTCCCCCCGCCCTCTCCGCCCACTCCCACTGCTCCCCATGGCCCTCTGGCCCCAGCGGCCCTAGGCCCTAAGCTGAGTTTTAAGGGCTCCAGCGCATTCCCGCTTCCTCCACTCCCCCGCCCCATGGCTACTCCCATGGTCTTCTGCCATAGGCCCTAAGTTGTTCATGGCCCCAGCGCCCCAGGGCCCTACCCCCAGGGTCCCATGGCCCCAGCCTTCCTAAGCTGAATTTTCAGGGCTCCAGTGCATGCCCGCTTCCTCCACTCCCCCCGCCCTCTCCGCCCTGGTCCCATGGTCCAGCCTTCTACCATTGAACTGAGTTTTAAGGGCTCCAGTGCATGCCAGCTTCCTCCACTCCCCCCGACCGCTCCGCATGGCCCTCTGCCCCATGGCTTCATGGCCCCAGCGGCCCAGGGCCTTCCCCTATGGTGCCAAGGGCTCCAGCGCATGCCCGCTTCCTCCACTCCCCCCGCCCTCTCCGCCCACTCCGACCGCTCCCCATCATGGCCCTGGCCCCATGCTTCATGGTTTCAGCGGCCCTAGGTAAGCTGATTTTTAAGCCGGGACCGCTCCCCCCCGCAATCCCCCGCCCCACCCGCCCATATGCCCCCCCCTCCACCTGCCTTCCGCCCCCCCACCCACACACCCCCCACCCCCCCCACCCCACCCCCCCACCCCCCACCCCCCCTCCTGTCGGGGTTGAGCCGGACAGAGCGTGCTTCAATTCTTAGGATGGGGTCGGCGGCATTGGCGGTAGCCATTAAATCGGGCAGCGCGAGGTCCCCAAAGGACCGAGCAAATGCGGACCTTTTAGCCCGGGTCGTCCCGGGAATAGCCTTGCTGGCCTCTGGCCTTCTGCGAAGCAGAATTAGGCCGGACGCCAGTGCCGCCGACCCCCGCGTGCCGCCGGTGAACGGTTTTTTTTTCGTGGTTTTTTGCGTCGCCACGGAGGCCCCCAGAGGGCGCGCATCATGAGCATCAGCGGGTCCAGCCCGGGACCCCCAGGCGCGCATCAGGAGCATCAGCGGCTCCCGGGGCGGGACCCCGGGGGCGCATCAGGAGCATGATGCCCCCCAAAGGGCGGGCATAAGCGACGTGTCTAAGCCCGGGGCTAGGAAAAAGGGAGTTTAGGGGCCTTATAAAGTGCTTAGAAACGTTAAGGGAGTCTAGGAGCCTCAAACGCTTAGAGATTTGAAGGGAGTTTAGGGGCCTGAAAATGCTTAGAAACTTAACGCTTAGAGATTTTAAGGGAGTTTAGGGGCCTCAACATGCTTAGAAACTGCTCGCCCCGGGCTTCTGCGTGCGCTGCCCGCCCATGGGCGCAGCCCCTTAAAATATCTATATATATATATATATATATTGACATATTGATGTACAAAGATACTGATACTCATATAATATAAAAATAGTGATAAACAAGCTAATATATTTTGATATACTAGTTACTAGTATATTAATATGAATATAGTAAAAAAATAGTGCCATTATAGGCTAATTTATCCCTTACCCCGAAGCACAGTCCGACATGCCCAAACCCCAAACCCTAACGGCCCGAACATGACGCCTGGCCGGAGGACGTCGAGTCGAGATGCATCTTGGCATCTGCCTCTCCGACATGCAACGCAATCTCATTTCGATCTGATTTTGGGGGGTTTCCGAAAATGGGGGTACCCTTTTGGGGGGGGGGGGTCTCTTCAAGGGGATTCTATTCTATTTGGGATATACGGTATAAACGGGGTACCCTTTTTGGAAAATGCCCATATCTAGGGCTTAGGGGTTCTCATCAGTACAGCTTGCGATGCATGTCAAGTGATGGCTAAAATTGTGCCAGTGCCAAGACCTCGATGTACAGTTTGGATGGCGACAACCTCCTGCCCACCCCATCCCCCACAAACCCTGAAGGCTTGTGAAGCCCCCAGCCTGAAACCCTGGACGCGGCGTTTGAGCCCAAAAGCCCTCAACCCAGCGTACCTCGAGACGTTCTGCTCGGCCCGTCAGCCGTGAGATCTCGTCCCACAGCGCCTGCGAGCATTCTGGAGGGTTTCCCTGTGGCCCTAGGGCCCCGTAGGCCCCTGTTTGGGAGTTTATGGGGGCTTGGGGAGTTTTCAAGGCTTTATGGGCTTATGGTTTCGAATGGATGTGCTTTTTGTCACTCTTAGCCTGCTCTATGCAAGCAGGGTTTCACATGGGATGATCACTTCTTCAAAAGCGCCTGGAAATCGCGGAACTCACATTCCGATGAATCACGCTCCTCGAGTTCCTAAAGTTCTGGTGTTTTTTTTGTACGATGAGTCTTTGGTAGCGTGCTGTCAATTTGGCCAGCCTGCAGCTGCGCTGTGGGCGCGGCGCTGGTCGGGGGCGGCGGCCTCGGCTAGTTCCAAGGCTGAAGGAGAAAGACCGCGGCTTGGCAAATCCCAGTATACCTCAATAACCCTCGTGCTTGGGAGCCAGTTCTTTTTTATTCTCAAGCTCAAGGGCGAGCCTCAGCCCGCACAACCCCAAAGTGAAACTCTAGCCACGTCGAAGAAGTCCCAAACACCTGAAGATCTAGAATCCCAACAGCCCACAAACACGCTCAACACATCCGCCATGCATACCCCAGACCATGTCCAATCTTCCGAGACCCTCAACGCTCATTAATATGGACCGCACCAAAGCTATACACCCCAAAGAAGAGCTAGTACAAGCAAACATGCAGCTCCACTGCGGCTGAGCAGCGCTGGGCGCCGCTCCACGGCCTCGCCGAGGCGTCGCAGTTCCTTAGGATTTAGGGTTTAGGGTTTAGGGTATAGGGTATAGGGTAGAGGGTTTAGGGTTTAGGGTTTAGGGTTTAGGGTTTAGGGTTTAGGGTTTAGGGTTTAGGGTTTAGGGTTTGCACATCCCCATGGGGTTTTCGATCTTCTGGGTTCAGGGCTGTCTGCCGACAACTGAAACAAACCGATACTTCCTAGTCCGTCCATGCTCAGGTCAACAAGCAACGCAATCTCAATGCACGTCGACATCCACTTAAGGCCCTTATAAGCCCTGAACCCTAAGCCCTAACCTAAACCCTAAACCCTAAACCCTAAAACCCTAAAACCCTAAACCCTAGCCACAAACCATTCCGCTACCGTAGCCCTCGGCGCAGCCCAGCCGCACGCTCCGCGGAAGCCATGCGCTCAGACACCACCCGACGGTGCTCAAAGAAGTCCTTGGTTTAGTTTAGGGTTTAGGGTTTAGGGTTTAGGGTTTAGGGTTTAGGGTTTAGGGTTTAGGGTTTAGGGTTCAGGGTTCAGAGTTCAGGGTTTAGGGTTTAAAAGGGGGGGGGGGGGGAAGTTTAGGGGTTTGGGGTGCTCAGAGCTTCGGGTCATGCCCGAGGATTTCCTGGACCCTGAAAAAAGCCCCTAAACCCTAAACCCTAAACCCTAAACCCTAAACCCTAAACCCTAAACCCTAAACCCTAAACCCTAAACCCTAAACCCTCCTTTCGTATGCTCCTTAGCTCTACAAGGCTCATTTTGGAGCGTGCGCGATTGATTTCTTGAGCTCTCCAAGCCCCACACCCGGAAATCCTCAACCCTGAACCTCGAACCATCAAAGGGTTTAGGGTTTAGGGTTTAGGGTTTAGGGTTTTGGGTTTTGGGTTTTGGGTTTTGGGTTTTGGGTTTAGGGAGGAATCAGGGCATTCCGGTACCACAGCCTGCGGCCGCGTGCAAAGCACAGTGTCGGGTCGGTCTGTGATTACCATCAACAGGGTTTAGGGTTTAGGGTTTAGGGTTTAGGGTTTAGGGTTTAGGGTTTAGGGTTTAGGGTTTAAGGGTTTAGGGTATTCTCTGTTGAACAGGTAGACATGGCATGGCACGAACTCCCTGGAACCCTCAGCCCCTCGAAAGTGCCACCTCAGCCGGAGGCTCCGCCCGCATCGCGGCAATCTGTGCAAGTTGCAGGCTTGCGAAGTTGGGCTGCTTCATCTTCAGGGTTTAGGGGATCTAGGCTTTAGGGTTTAGGGTTTAGGGTTTAGGGTTTAGGGTTTAGGGTGTAGGGTGTAGGGTTTAGGGTTTAGGGTTTAGGGTTTAGGAAGCCCTCAACCTCGACGGCAGTCTATTTTGCTGCAGGCCAGATCAGGGCTTGGGGATTGGCTTCAGGGTGTCGGGTAGTTATGTTGGGAAGGGGATTGCTTGACCCAAACCCGAAACGCGAAACCCGAAACCGTGACCCTCAAAATCAAGGGGCGTGCGGCGCAGAGCTGGGTTCTACAACGTTTAAGATTTAGGGTATTGGCTCACTCTAAGGAACGACACCGAGACCGATGCTCAACTTTGCGAGCATCTCGACTTTTCAATCTGCGCTACATCCTAAGTGCTATCCCTCAAGCTCTAACCCTAAATCCTAGACCCCAACCTAAAACCTTAGGCTAAACCTGAATCAAACCCCAAACCGAAACCCATAACTCTGGACTCCCCCCCCTCCAAGCCCTTTGAACCACGTCATCCTTCCTCCGACGATTTCCCAACGGTTCCTGTGCCAAAAGCAACTTTGCTAACGATCTGCATAAGGTCATGCTGACTTTCGAAAGCACCTGGCGCTTCAGCTCACGCCACAGGACCAGAAAAGTCAAAATTGGATGTAAAGGACTTGGAAAGGCTACTCAGGCTACTCAGACCGCCGCTTCAGGGCACGCACGCAGTAGCCAATACAGTCTGGATTCACATACTCCTCGTTGCACTCGTCCTCATCCATGTTGAACCAGAGTTTACATTGTGGACACTGCAGATCCCCTGGGGCAGCGTTGTCGAAGCAGAACTGGAGCAAGCGCTTCGCGTCTTTGCCAGGTGACCAAGAGTTGAAGGCTTTTGCTCGAACGGTGAAGGGCTGTTCCTTCTTCTCCCACTGCTTGCGCGCGTATGCTGTGAATCCTGCTGTGTCAACCATCTCCAGCCGGAACCCCAACTTTGTCAACAGAGTCTTGAGGTCCTTCGTCTTGACATCTTTGGATCTCATCATGTGCTGCACCTCACTCAGCAAACGAGAGCGGCACATGCTGCAGTCGGCCCAAGGCCGCAACTACACCCTAAACCCCCCACCCAAAACCCTGAACCCTCCACCCTAAACTCTAAGTCAACACCGTAACATCGAGGAACCATGAGGCTCAGCAGTGCATTCACGTCCTGTAAGAAAACCTTGCGCTCAGCTTCGAGGGGTGTCTGGGGTGCATTTTGCTGGGTGGTCGGGTTTAGTTGCTTGCCGTGTCTGCCGTTTCGATGGTCAGCACACACACACACACACACAAAGCCCGATGGCACATAAGCATCGCCGACATAGAAGCAGTGATGGTTTTGCAAGCACAGCCCTCTCAGAGCCGCTCCCGGAACCCAAGCTGAACCTTCAAAGGCCTTAAAGCCGCTCCTGAGGCCCTACCCCAAACCTTTTTCCCCAGCGTTTGGCTTCCAGAGACCTCATCCACACACTGCCCCCACAGCCCCGAGCCTGATCGTCTCTCTCCTGGCCCTCCTGTACGAAACCACGCCGCAGCGCCTCACGAGCTCGTTGCCGTTCCAGCACACCAGATGACGACCCGAGGCTTTTGGAGGCTTTGTACCCTGTAATGCACTTCAGGGGGCGACTTCCACGAAGCAACTGAGCACCCAAACCACTCCTCTGGCAAAAACAATATCTTAAACTCAAAACGGCAACTCAGAAAGAACAACCCCGAACGATGCAACCCCCACGCTTCCTCCATTTCGGTGCGCAGCTGATTTCCGCTGTCGGGCCTGGAGAGTTTAGGGTTTAGGGTTTAGGGTTTAGGGTTTAGGGTTTAGGGCTTAAGGCTTAGGGCTTAGGGCTTAGGGCTTAGGGCTTAGGGCTTAGGGCTTAGGGCTTAGGGCTTAGGGCTTAGGGCTTAGGGCTTAGGGCTTAGGGCTTCGGGCTTAGGGCTTAGGGCTTAGGGCTTAGGGCTGAGAGAGGGATTTCTTGAGTTCAGGGACTTTCAGGCTTCAGAGCTTCTTCCAGCGAAGTGCCCAGCTCAGATCTTCCTGCTGCCAGTTCACCTTCTCTGTGCCCGAAGAATAATTCCTCTCCCTAAACCCTAAACCCTAAACCCTAAACCCTAAACCCTGAACCCTAAATCCTAAACCCTAAACGAAGAATAACTAGGCTGCCCAGTAACCAAGGCTTAAAAAGGGTGCCCTTTTTTGCTTAAAGGGGCTTATAAGGGAACCTAAACCCCCCAAAAAGGGAACAAGGGTACTACTGGGCATCCTAGAATAACTCCTCTCAACCTGAGTCCCCACACCCGTCTCAAAAAACCTTCCTCCACCACAAACATCTCCTTACCTTCTGGGGAGTCCCATCAGCTGCAACCGCAAGTAGATAGATAGGAGACTAGGCTAGACTTTGTTGTAACTTGAAATTAGGTGCACGGACTCCGAGCCACTGCGGGTGGAGCATTCGGTCATGTTTAAGCATACAGCAACTCCGTAAAAAAAGCATCTCATCCATCCCCCCCCGCTACCCCCACAAGCTCCTCTTCGCCTCTAACAGGCTTCCGTACTTCCTTGCTCAGGGCATGTATACTATAATATATTGTATTACATTATATGATATGATATGATATTATATTATATTACATTATATTATATATGGTATAATATATTATATATTATATATTATATATTCTATATTCTATATTATATATGATATATAATATATAATATATTATATATTATATATTATATATTATATATTCTATATTATATATTATGTATATTATATATTATATATAGTATAATATATAATATATAATATATAATATATAATATATAATATATAATATATAATATATACTATATAATATATAATATATTATATATTAAATATTATATATTATATATTATATATTATATATTATATATTATATATTATATATTATATATTATCTATTATATATTATATATAATTGCATTATTCTCATGTGAGCGGGCCTGCGAAGCGTCCGAAGAATGTCATCTGCGGCCCTCGGTCGGGATCTTCCGCAAGGCCCAGGGGTGTAAAGATTTAGGGTTTAGGGTTTAGGGTTTAGGGTTTAGGGTTTAGGGTGTCTCGGGATGTCATCCGGCTGCCGGATCGAGAGTTCCCGGTCCAACTTTTGAGGTTTTCGGGGTTGCTTGCAGCTCAGAACACTGTTGGTAGACCCTAAACCCTCAACCCTAAACCCTAAACCCTAAACCCGAAGGGTTTAGGGTGTGGTGGTGGAAAAGCTGAGAATCCGGGCGACATTTTCACCTCCAGCGACCCGGTCGTCGCCTCATCCAACCGCGCAGTTCCGGCACCCTGAAACCTAAAAAGGCCCTACTGTAGAGGTTTAGGGTTTAGGGTTTAGGGTTTAGGGTTTAGGGTTTAGGGTTTAGGGTTTGGGGTTTAGGGTTTAGGGTTTAGGGTTTAGGGTTTAGGGTTTAGGGTTTAGGGTTTAGGGTTTAGGGTTTAGGGTTTAGGGTTTAGGGTTTACCTACTGTAGAGACCCGAAACCTCCCTGAAACAAGGCCTTTCGGGCCCTCCCCTTCGCAAAGCTCGGGCTTCAGGGCTTTTACCGTCAAGGCTTGCAGGGCCATTCGGTGCACGGAGAAAGCCCATTTTGGATGAGGGTTCATGGAGCGAGCTGGGAGGTCACCACGTTGACGACGTGGGGAGCCTCCCTGACGCAGCATCTGCCAGTCGCAGCCGCACGAGCTGTGAATGATGGTTCCTGAAACCTAAACTCAACACTGTGGGATGAACCGCGATGCGAGGGGGCGGGGCGTGCAGTTTGAGGTTGGTAGCTTTGGAGTTTAGGGTGCATGCTTTAGAGTTTAAGGTTCTGGACTCGGAGGTCAGGGTCATGGCGAGCCCACGACCGTGAAGCCTAAGCCCCACCCGCACCCAAGCGCCCCTCGGGGGTTCAGAGGTGCGCCAGATCTGCAAGCTCCGGGAGTCTCTGAATGATCCTAAACCCTAAACCCTAAACCCTAAACCCTAAACCCTTCAAACCCTGAGAGGCCCAAGTCTCCTCCCTGCGCCCTGGAACCGAAAACCCCCCGAAAATCCCCAGCCGCGCCCAACGAGTCCGACCCGCCTCGCAGCGCAGCTGCTGCCGCAAGAGCCGCTGGAGCTCCTCTGAGCCAGGTCACGGTTTTTTGGTGTTGGGGGGCTCAAGGGCTTTCTCCTTCAAGGGGGTGCAGAGACTCCTGCGGGGGGCGGGCGTGGTGCCCTAGCCTTCGGAGCACATGCGATGTGCTAGAGCTACTCAAAGTTCGTACGATCACTGTAAGCCCATGTGAGGGACATTCTGACGATCATCTTGTGCTGTATTGCTACGGCCATTGTCAGCATCAGCAACAACAGCGACAACACATCGCTTCTTCTCCAGTCTCTGTCAACAAGAGATGAATGATGTTTCGCTAATGAAGCAATAATGCTGGCCATTGTACCCGAAACAATCCGAAATCATACTGATACCAGATAGAAGTGTGAGAGGAGCAAACCAGCGACGACACCCTGCGATAGGAGGGTCCAGGGCAGGAGCTGAGCCCTTGCCCTACACGCCAAACCCTAAACCCTAAACCCTAAACCCCAAACCCTAAACCCTAAACCCCAAACCCTAAACCCTAAACCCTAGACCCTGTGAACCCCGAATGGCCCTGAAGCCTCTACAAAGGTGGGGGGGAGGCCGGAAAGGGCTCCTCTTGCTGCCCGCGGCAGGTCCCCTCGAGCTGCTCGAGCCCTGGGCTTCCACACAAGGTGCAAGTTTGGAGCTTCGGGCTTAGGAGGCCTTCGGACCCCCTTTTTTGGGTTTAGGGTTTAGGGTTTAGGGTTTAGGGTTTAGGGTTTAGGGTTTAGGGTTTAGGGTTTAGGGTTTAGGGTTTAGGGTTTAGGGTTTAGGGTTTCGTCTTCTGCTGGAGCCTTCTGGAGCCTTTTTTGGAAGCCTTTTGGAGCCATCTCTTTGGCCCACTGCCACTTTCTCCCTTTGGGTCTGCAAGGGCTTTCGGGCATGTTAGTAGGGGATAGGATTAGGGGGACCCTTGGGGATATAGACCCTCTGAATACGGTCCCTGTTTAAGAGAGCCACAAGAGGGTTCAGAAGGGGTTCCTTTTAAGGGTCCCCCTTATCCTACCTAGGAGTTAGAGCCAGACTTCGGACGTGGAGGTATCCTCGAGTGAGAGTTCGGTATCGATTGGTCAGCGGAGATGCTGAGATGCTTTCCCACTGGAAGAAGCACTCTAGTAGACTCTAGCATGCATTGCGCTGGAAGGTGGCTCAATCCGGGCTCATCAAGAAGTTCATGTCCACGGGCTGTTGAGACGAAACTTCACGGACAGAGGTCACATGCAGCGTTGAGTCGTCGTAAAGCTGGGGCTGCAGCGCGGGGTTTGAGGGTTTAGGGTTTATGGGGTTTAGGGTTTAAGGCTTAGGGCTTAGGGTTTAGGGTTAAGCCGAGCTGCTGTTGTTGAACTCCTGGATCTTTGCCAAGGAGTGCGTGGGTGAATCCTGCCGACATTGACACCCTGAGGCCCAAAAAAAAGCCTAAACAGTTCGAGACCTGAAGCCCACAAACCCGCTGCTTGGGGGAGTCTTAACCCTGCACCCACTCACAAGCTTCAATGCTGAGCCCTGCACTCAAAAACACTAAGGCCTGAACTAGAAGCCCCAAACCCCCAAAACTCAACCCCAAAACTCAACAGGCTATCCTGGGCGCTGAGACAGTTCACAACACAAACGCACGCAAGTGCCCAATCCATGACGCGAGTGACATCTCCTTTGCAAGCAGGTAAATGTTACAGGGTCCTGATGCACGTGGCTCAACCTTACATCCTGAATCTGTGCATTTCAAAGAGATACAGTAGCCCCCCGTAAAACCCTGCAAGCCTTTAAGCCTAGAAAGGCCAAACTGTTCAGGCTCCACCCTCAACCCCACAGCCGACGCTCACCCGCCTCAGCTGCGAATGCCTCTGCTGTCGGCGATGCCGGCGCCTGCCATGTCGGCCATGCAAACCACTTACGTCGAAAATGCCCGACGTCATGAGGAGAATAGCCTGAGTCAAACTCTAAGAACCCCGCACCTAGGGCGTGGAACAAACCAACGACCCAACCAACCGGAAAAATAGTCGACCAATCCACGAGCCGACCAGTCCACGAGCCGGGCAAACAAGCAAACCCTAAACCCTGAACCCTAAACCTTAACCCCTAAACCCTAAACCGCTGGGCCTTCGGCGACAGCGACAAGATTCGCTGCGCCACGAGGAGGTCACCTCGGAAGTTGTCGGGTGCCAATGCTTGGGTCCCCCGTGGCGGGCGAACAGCCGCAACAGCAAAAGGATCATACAAGGGAGTCTAAGAGAGGATTTTTTGCCATGCCCCATAGTGTCTTTTGAGGGGTATGCCCCAGGGGTATGTTGAATATTTCTTAGAACGTCTTCCTTGGACCACGATGCTGTTCGCGACGCTAGTTGCCCTTGGGCTTTTCGCGTGCTTGCTTCTGTTATTTTGTGCAGGTGTCTCCAGCAAGCCGCCGTCCACAACTGTCCACGGCTTGCTGCCTCCGAAACCCAGAAGTCATGTGGAGACACGATTGGAAACCTTTGCTTCCCAGATTCTGTTGGACACTGTCAACCTCACCGGAAGGAAACAACTTTGAAGAGTTTGAGGCTGAGGGCTACACGGCGGCTACAGGCGGCTTAAGGCTTGAGGAAGCTAGACTCGTGCCGACTGCAGAGCTTTATAGGGGCTTCATGATGCGTCCCTCATCCTTCAACCTCGTTCATCGCCACCCCCCTAAACCCTAAACCGCAAACCCTAAACCTTAAACCCTAAACCCTAAACCTTAAACCCTAAACCCTAATAACCCCTCTTAAGCCTAAAACCCCATCCCAAGCCCTCAGCATCCGGCACTGCTGCCGCACGTTTTCCAGTGAGGCAGCCAAGTCCTGCAACCAAGTTTCGTTTAGGACACGTGCCCTGCTCACCACACTGGGGGCTTCCTGTTGCTGACTGCGACTCTAACTCACGCTGGCAAAAAACCTCTTTTTTGGTGTTCTTACGGACACGCCTGCCGCGGAAACCACTGCAAGCACGCTTGGGGCCTAAGGGTTTGGGGTTTAGGGTTTAGGGTTTAGGGTTTAGGGTTTAGGGTTTAGGGTTTAGGGTTTAGGGTTTAGGGTTTAGGGTTTAGGGCCTATCAAGCCGACCTGCACATGGCAGCTAACGCCTGAGCTTGGTCGCGAAACCCTTTAGCACTTGCTCCTCCCAGCGGAGCTTCTTTGCAACACCTTCTTCCCAAACAGCATTCCGCAAAATGTCCGAAAGTGTATACAGTACAGAGCTGAATGAGCCACACCGAAACAACCCCGAGAGCTTCAAACGCCAAGCTCCGGCACACCTAATTCAGATGAGGGTAGCTCGAAGCGCAAACCCGGCCCCAACGAGTCCCAAGCTCCCTCAACTCAAAACATCTGAAAAGGGTCAGGAATGCCTAAACTCCCTACACCCTGGGCGCCCCCACCCCCCTAAACCCTAAATCTTCGAAACCGAAAACCCGGGAGCTTCAGCCGAATGCAGGCTTGGTAGCCCAGTACCCGGCGGAGGGTTTTCTTGTTTTTTGAAGGTGTGGCTCGGACGTTGTTGTTTTAAAAGGTGTGGCTGAGCTTGGCTTCGCAAATACTGTAAATAGCAGCATTTCTGCGTTGTGACAGCAGTTTTGAATGTCCAAATCTGCAGAACGCGCGTCCAGAACATGTAATTGGAGTCTGCGAGACATTGACTGCGCGCTTCCGACTCCACCATAACGTCGAGACTTGATGCTGTAGGCCGGCTGAGCAGAATAACGATATGAAATCTGCTTGGACGTCAAAGATGCGGCAGGTGCCTCGGAATCCTCGAGACAATGATGTGGTTCTTGCAGAGAGCCCTTGTCCCTCAAACGTCTTCTCTTGGACACATTGACGTCGTCGCGTTGGGAAGCGACACCGTGGAGCACGCTCAGGATGCCGGCTTCGTGATCCTTTAGCTTTTCCATAGCACTGCCATGCGCTCGCAAGGCATCTGCTTGGTCGGACGGAGAACCAAGGGGGGGGGGGCACGAGCCACACCTTTTAAGAAAAGGAGGCCCGAGCCACACCTTTTATAAAAAAAAAAAAACTGGCCCCCCCGTACCCCTAAACCCTAAACCCTAAAGCCTAAAACCCTAAACCCTAGACCCTGAACCACAAACCCTAAACCCTAAACCCTAATCCCTAAACCCTAAACCCTAAACCCTAAACCCTAAACCCTAAACCCTATAAACCCTAAACCCTAAAACCCTACCAAGCGAGGCGGACCTCGACTTTCCCCACCATGGCCTCGCCCACGGAGCGCTCCGCCAGCGCTGCCTGGTTGCGGCTTTGGCAGGGTTTAGGGTTTAGGGTTTAAGGTTTATAGGGTTTAGGGTGCAGGCTTTAGGGTTCAGGGTTTTGGGTCTCCACCATATTCGTCCAGCGTGCGGCGCCCCGGTCTTCGAACCTCCAAAACTCGGGCCCCAATAGCCACAGCTAGCCCAAGACTTTCTTGTATTTGTTGTGCAGGGCTCGCCCACAACCCTTCAAAAGGCCCAGCCCAAAGCCACAAATTGGTTCGGAGGAGCTTAGGGTTTAGGGTTTAGGGTTCAGGGTTCAGAGTTCAGGGTTTAGGGTTTAGGGTTTAGGGCTTAGGGTTTAGGATTTAGGGTTAAAGTCTCGGGGCCGGGGCTGAGAAACACTTTCAGAGACTCCAAAAGTGCCAAATCAAGCTGACACACCGAGGCATCGATGGCTACATTAATCCCCTTCAGGGTTTAGGGTTAAGTATTTAGTAGGGTTTAGGGTTTAAGGTTTAAGGTTTAAGGTTTAGGGTTTAGGGTTTAGGGTTTAGGGTTTAGGGCTTAGGGCTTAGGGCTTAGGGGTTAGGGTTTAGGGTTTAGGGTTTAGGGTTTAGGGTTTAGGGTTTAGGGTTTAGGGTTTAGGGTTTAGGGTTTAGGGTTTAGGGTTTAGGGTTTAGGGTATTAAACCACCCCCGACCCCCTAATTTTCAATTCCCCCCATTATAATCACACTATAGCATATTGGGGGTTCTTACTATTGGGGAGTAGGGGGAGTTTATCTGAGGGGGAGGTGATTAAGCTATACTGACCTTGGAACCCTAGCACAAATTGTAATTCTAGCTGTTTCTTCGGACTTATAGTGCTGTACCCAAAACTCAAAAACATGTTCCCATAAGTCTAGCTGTGTCTTAGGAATGATAGTGCCCAAACATTTAAAAAGATTTCCAAGGTATCCCTAAGTAAGAAGCCTGCGTTTGATGCTGAGAGTTTGGGGGTTTAGGGTTTAGGGTTCAGGGTTTAGGCCCCCCTCTCTCTCCCCCCACTGGCACAAGGCGCACCAGCTGTGGGCGCAGAGCAGCTAGCTCGCCTGGCAGGAATTTCGAAGGGATTCAAGTTCAGCAGGCAGTTTATGTCCTAAACCCTAAACCCTAAACCCTAAACCCTAAACCCTAAACCCTAAACCCTAAATCCTAAACCCTAAACCCTAAACCCTCTAGGTTTTTGGGGGAGGGTGGGAGGATTATAGGGCTTCGGAAGCCAGGGTTCAGAGGAACTCTTTCTCACACCTGCAAGACCTACAAACAAACCCGCGCCCTTGCACCCTGAACCAAGACTTCCCTGAACAAGCAAGCCCATGAAGAGCAAAAGTCTAGTCTTCATAAACCTTCCCTCCAAATGCCGTCACCCTGCAACCATCAACCTAAATCCCTTCAGGCTAATTAAGCCCACTTCCTAATTCAAAGTCCTAACGACAATTCCCACACCTCACAGCAAACCCCTGAACGCCAACTCCCTGTCCTCTAAACCCTAAACCCTAAACCCTAAACCCTAAACCCTAAACCCTAAACCCTAAACCCTAAACCCTAAACCCTAAACCCTAAACCCTAAACCCTAAACCCTAAACCCTAAACCCTAAACCCTAAACCCTACACCAATCCCTCTCTCCACGTGCCTTCGAGCCGCTCGCTGAGCTCTCCCTGCACGGCCACCAGCTCTGAGCGTAGCCTGTCGCTGCAGATCTAAACCCTTAAAAGGGGTTTAAGGGTGTTACTGCAAGGGCTTTAAGGGTTTTAAGCGCTTTAAGGGTTTTAAGGGCTTTAAGGGTTTTAAGGGCTATAAGGGCTTTAAGCGCTTTAAGGGTGTTAAGGGCTTTAAGGGGTTTAGGGGCTTTAAGGGTTCTAAGGGCTTTAAGGGGTCTAAGGGAACTGGACGAAACAAGCGGGACTGGGGGTTCGAGAGAAGCATGTAGGCAAACATTGCCGTCAAACAAGACCGTTGGGGGTAGGACTGTAGACTCTTGCTCCTCGCGGTTCAATGCCGCAGCCTCGAATTGTTGTACTTTCTCCATCTGCCATGCATCGGCGTCTCGTAGCAAACCTCTTCAACCTCCGAAGGCATTCGCGACGTATTCCATCCAGTGCCCCAGAAGCCCCAAACCCTAAACTAAGCCCGGAGAGCAAAGGAGAAACAACCGGGGCCTGGTCTCGAGCTCCCCGATGCTCGTGCAGACTTGCTCAAAGCGCCCCTCGACCTGGCGTGGCATTGCGGCCGGTTCATCTAGGGTTTAGGGTTTAGGGTTTAGGGTTCAGGGTTCAGGGTTTAGGGTTTAGGGTTTAGCATTTAGGGTTTAGGGTTTAGGGTTTAGGATTTAGGGTTTAGGGGAGCTGGGGTATGTGCGACGCAAATCGTGCTGTCCGAATATAACAAGCCCACATTTGAACCTGCTTGTATACTTCGAAGCGGATGGCGAGGGATAGCCTTCGGTGTTTTGTTGCATCTTCGCATCCACCCCCTAAACCCTAAACCTGAAAAGCCCTAAACCCTTTCGCCGGAATCACAAATAAACCTCCTGAACCCTGACACTCCACACCCCAACCGGGGCCGAAACCCAAACCCAAAAAGATCGGCTCGAAGCCCCAAATAGAGGGAAGCCGCGGAACCTCGACCTGCAGGCGCTCGAAGAAGGCCACCTGTTCGGAGCACCAGCCAACGCTGATATCCAGCCCATCGAGGGGATCACCCAGAGATGAGAGCACCCTTGGGACCTAGACTTTGGGTCCCGCAACAACCCGCAAGGAGGGGTGAGGCCATGGGCTGTTGCTGGAATGCTTCAAAAAACCCACACATGGCTTGGTGTTTGCACATGCCCAGGTCGTTCTCGCCCAGGTGCCGTGCACATTTCTGGGCCCAAAACTTGGCTGCACTCAGGAGGGTAGCTATAAATTAAACTTTTAGCTGCCTTAATGAGAAACCCAATAAACCCAAAAAAGGTAAGGATCTAAAGTTACAGTAAAGTACCACAAAGAAAAATCTTGGGCAAATAGGCTTTGCCCTCGCAGAGGGTGCGAAGTCACCCTCTCCCCTGGGTCTCGCTTCCGTACTCGACATCGTGCTCCCCCCCTGGAACAACGAGCTGGGCCTGCTCCAGCTGCTGAGCTTGAAGAGCCCGCAGGCCGCGCCACCTTGCGGATGAGAGATCAGGGCCTTCAAGCTTAAGGCTTTAAACCTTAGAAACTAAGCCCCGGCAGCGAGGGAAGAAGAAGAAGAAGACGAAGACGAGGCTCTGGGCTTCTTAGGTTCTTAGGACTTCCAGGGCCCCTAAGCCCTCAACCCTTCGCGGAAAGGTTGCCAAGAAGTCACCGGAACCTTACGGCCCTACTCTCCTTAAGGAACCCCCCCCCCCCTGTCTCCCTTGCGCCCGAAACACCCATAGACACTCACCGCGAGTCCATCGGCACGCTGCCCGCTTAGATGGTTGTAGCGTTCAAGGTAGTTGCTTGCGCCCGTCGACCCCCGAAGCTGCCAAAAACGCCCCGAACAAGAAACCTCGATGTGAAGGCCCCGAAGAACCCTCTTAGTTGTCCAGTAACCTGGGGGAAATCAAAGGTTAACCTTTGGGACTATAAGGGGATTATACTACCCCAAAAAGGTTAAAGGTTACCTACTCTACTACTAGGCCCTAGACTCGAGCCTCAGGATGCCAGAAAGAATTGTGCAACATGGCCCATATATTCCTGATTGGGAACTATAGTAGTACAGGGTATATAACCCCCATTTTGGGGGTTCATGTCTTCCTCAACTTCAGAGCATCCGAGGCACACTTCGGCCACGGCGGAGCCCAGCGCTACCGGGCGCGCAGCCTCCGTTGCAACACGCGCCCTTCAGGAAGTACCAGCATGGGCTGTGAGGCCTTCTAAAGACAGTAGCCAATCCTATAAAAGGGCCGTTCTAAGGGGTTAGGGTATAATAGCCCTTAAGGAAGTAATGCAGGAGTCTTGCTAGGTTTGGCCCGTACCTTGCACGGGGGCAGGGGGGGGCGGAAAGAATGTTTAGGGCCTTGTATTCTGTGGGAAGTAGGTATGGGCAAAAGCCACTCGTTCATCGGCACTCTTTTGGCCCGTGCTGCCAGACTTCTCCGGAAGCCCTCAGCCCTAAACAAAAGTTCAAAGCCACAGATCTACTCCTGAGTTCAAGTCGACATTTTCCAGGGCCCTGGAAGAAGCGCATAAGCTTGCATCGTTTGAGACTCCCATCTGTTTTAAAAAAAATCCGACATCCGAATGTCCAAGACATCCTTGAAAGCCCTCATCTCCCTACCCTAAACCCTAAACCCTACACCCTATACCCTAAACCCTATACCCTAAACCCTAAACCCTAAACCCTAAACCCTACACTTTTCTATAGGTGTTTTCCCTGATGGCAAGGCAGAATTGATGCCTCCTGGCGCTGGGGCGAACGCCCGCGACCGCGCGGGGATTCCTTGGGAACCGAGCTGTTTTTGCTTCACGCAAATTCTTCGAAACGGATGAAGACGACGTCCGATGACAGACCAACAGAGACAACAACCATTAGCCCAACAACTCTGCACCGCCCTGCACTTCAGGATGGTTTTTTGTTGGGGCGGTAGGGTTTTGGTTGCAACTACTCATCGGACCTTAGGCGTGCAGTCGAGGATATGCATCTTTTGGTCTGATCCACATGTGACATGTTCTAAACAGAACACCCTGAGAAGCCCACTGTCGAGCCCTGTGTCAAGCCCTCAATGCCCAAACCGTCGGTCCGACGCGCGAAGCCCAAATCCCTAGACCCTGACGTACATCTATTGCAAGCTTCAGTCTAGGGGCCTAGGGCCTAAGAATTTTAGGCTTTAAGTGGGCTCCACCCCCCCAAGAGCCGCGCTGCATCTTTGTCCGAAGCTGCCAGCGCCATCCTCCATCAGATCCACGTCAGCTTGGGGTTGTAAGGGGGTTTAGGGTTTAGGGTTTAGGGTTTAGGGTGTCGGGTTTAGGGTTTAGGGTTTAGGGTTGAGGGTTGAGGGTTGAGGGTTGAGGGTTGAGGGTTTAGGGTTTTGGTATTCAGTGATTGTAGACCGCACAGCCCCAACTCTCAAAAACTCACAGCGGGTCTCCCAAAAAAATGTCGCAGACAGGATCCCGCATTGAATCTTTCAAGGGAACCATCCAGACATCTCAACAGCACATCCCACATACAGCCTTCGTGAGGAGTGCCCAAATCCCAGAGCAGGGATGCTCGAAGTGGATCATTTCTGTGCAGCTTTTTGGACTCCACATTGTCGCCTCCCCAACCGCCGCCTCCCCCCCCGCCCCGCACCTACCCCAAAGTACAACAGGAAGACGACAAGGCCGCAGGCCCCCCAAGCTGAGAAGCCCCCTCTCCTATACTCCCCTTAGAACCTTAATACCCAGATCTTCTAAAAACCCCTTAATGAAGGTATATATATCCGAATTCATAATAAGGATCCTTAGTATAAATTAGGGCATATTCCTTAATTAAGGGGTTTTGGAAGATCTGGGTAGAAATATTATTTGTAATACCCCCTTGGGTTTTATTCAAATAATTCCCAAGGGGAATATAGTCTCCTTTCCCAGGCTGCGGGCCTTGCCAGGTCTCCGGCACCCGGGACCCGGGGCTCGTCCGACACCTGCCAGGGCTTGAAGGGTTTAGGGTTTAGGGTTTAGGGTTTAGGGTTTAGGGTTTAGGGTTTAGGGTTTGGGGTTTAGGGTTTGGGGTTTAGGGTTTAGGGTTTAGGGTTTAGGGTTTAGGGTTTAGGGTTTAGGGTTTAGGGTTTAGGGTTTAGGGTTTAGGGTTTAGGGTTTAGGGTTTAGACTGTCTAGGCTCTTGAGGGTTTGAGGCTTTTGGGGCTTGGACACGAGCACTTTGGAGTTCACCATACTTGAGGATGACATGGCCTGAATGCGGATGGCCTCTCAGAACCTCATCCACCCCCAGGCATCTCCTTCAAAAGGTATGCGGTATGCGTGTTGATAACTGGTAGCCTTGCCGCTCAAGACACGAGGGGCCCTATGTCAGGAGCATTCTGCGTGCCCTTAGCCGCCGCCCCCTTCACCCCAAACCCCTAAACTCGCCAAACCCACTGAAACGCACCAAACCCGCACCCGCTAAACTCCCTAAAGCCCTCATGCCCTAAACCCTAAACCCTAAACCCCTCAAGCCCTCAACCCTCAACCCTAAACCCCAAACCAAGCCCAAAAATCCAAAATCTCGTGGAGCTCCCCTCCCCCCTCCGTCCCGCGCGCCGGCTTGGTGAGCACAGCAGGGGCACTCCCCGGCCTTTTGACTGTTCTTTGCTTTGGGGGACTCCGCTATGCGAGGGCTCAGGGTTTAGGGTGTAGGGTTTTAGGGTTTAGGGTTTAGGGTTAGGGGTTTAGGGTTTAGGGCTTAGGGTTTTAGGGTTTAGGTTCAGACCGGATTTAAAGTTTAGGCATTGCCTTGCTGGAGTCTCTTGGAGTGCCTCAAGCAGAGCGACAGCCGAATTTCCTGGACAGGTTTGAGGACCTCCGCCAATCCTAAAGTCTGCCATGGCTGCTGCTTTAGGCATGGGGGCTTCCGAAAATAGGGGGTGCCCCTTTTGGGGGGTCCCTTTAAGGGGATTCTATTCTGATTGGGGGTATCAAAAAAGTGTACCCCTATTTTGGGAAACACCCCCATGCTTGCAAGTGCGCTTGCAGCTTGAGTCAAGAACGAGCCGGTGGAATGCCGCTTCATTACAGCATTGGGTGCTTCAAAGGGCTTTAGGACTTTAGGTTAGGGGATTAACATGATAAAGAATTGCAGGAGCTTCTCATTCTACACATGTACAATCAACAATCAGGGCGGCAATGCCCATACAATCTCTTCTAAATCCGAGCTTCATGTAAGAAGGGCCTACAGTGTCCCTCAACTATGGCCTTCAACACGAAAGCATGTCTTACCATGCACTATAGTCGCATGTCATAATGGTGACTGCACCTCCTTTCTATAACCTCCCTACTTCACGCTGCCCGGGCCCCAAAACCCAAAACCTTAAACCCCAAACCCTAAACCCTAAACCCTACTGGAGCAAACTGGGCGCTGGGTCCCCGACGGCTCTCCGGCCTGTGAGCTGCTGTCGGCTTCGTCTCCCTCCTACCAACTCCTTGACTAATCCAAAGCTCGGTGTCTTTTGTAAATGTGGGGCAAAGGTCACCAACCTTGCTTCTTATCCGTGGTTCATCTTCGAAAACAGACAGACGCCCTAAACCCTCCCAAGGCGCAACTGACACGAGCAGCAAGAAACTCAGAAGTCTCAAACCATGCAACCTTACAGTTCTAGACCCAAGAGTAGCCTAGGATTAAAAGGGTACCCTTTTGGTTTCAAGGGGTTCACAAGGGAACCCAACCCCCAAACAAGGGAATAAGGGCCTACTCTGGGTCCAACAATTTGTCCAGGCGGCCATTGTAGATGGCCGCGCCAAGGCCGCCCAGCAGCCGAATCCGACGTTAGAGTCGCTTTGTATCATGGCCCATGGGCGTTTCGGATTCAGGGACTAGGGCTTGGGGTTTTGGATGTGGGGTTTAGGCCTGGAGGTTTTTTCTTTGTGTGCGCTTTCGTGTGCAGGCCGAAATACAGGAACATTGGAGTTTCGGGGTTTAAGGTTTAGTGTTGAGGGTTTGGGGTTTTTTGGGCTTTTTAGCGTTGGCATCCGAGGTTTGCTGTTCAAGGTTTAGAGGTCTAGATCGACTCGGGGTCTTCCCGCACTTACGAGGTCTGCTCCAGGGAATTGCAGCTCCAACCCTAAACCCTAAACCCTAAACCCTAAACCCTAAACCCTAAACCCTGTCAAAGAGGCCCAAAACGGCGCAGATTCGGCAGCGGTGGCGGGTGGTGCGCGGGTGAGGTGCTCGTGGGGTTTCGGGCATGTGGGGCCTTTCCGAAACTAGGGGTCCCCCTTAAGACCCCCAAAATACCATAATCCTGTTAAAGGAACCCTCGAAAAGGGTACCTCTATTTTCGGAAACCTCCATGTGGTTGGGCATAGGGATGTGGTTGAAACTCAACGCCTTCCGAACTTGGACTTGCAGGCTTCAGGTTTCGTGATAGCTGGGTGCAGAGATATGGAACGGCACAGTAGGCATTGTAGCCTCTTCCAACGTTCGAGGGCCTTGGGGTACTTTAGGGTTTCAAGCGCTTAAAGCTTGGAGGTTGCGCCTTGCACCAATAACCTTCAGACGAACATCCAAGTCGAACCCCCTGAAGCCCCAAAGGCTTAAGCCCGAACTGCAAGCAAGCACGCATGCCACACGCACACATGCCAGCATGAAACAGGCAGGGTGTTCAATACATTGGGCTCGTCAACCCGCATCTGTCAGCCCTAACCCTAGCCGATGTCAAGAACTCCTCGAAGCCAGAAACCCTCAACAAACACTGGAACCCTCCCGTCCCAGGAGTACATAGGTCCTGTGAAGCAAATTTGAGGTCGCCCGGCTCGCCCCGCGAGTCCAAGACCTTTTCGTTTCGGCGGGCTTTCAGGGCTCTTCGGGCTTCTAGAGCTTGAGAGCGATTTGGGGAGGGGTTTGGGCCTTGGGGCTCGTGGGTTTTTTGCATTTGTGCTTGATGCAGGAGGTTGCGACTAGGGCGATCTCGGACTTTCAAAATAAGACCCCTCTTTCGTTTTGATAGCCGCGTGCCGAACGCACCCAGAATCAAGCTCCAGGTTGCCTCATGAAGAATGCTACTTCGTCCGTGAAGTGCCCTCAGCCTTACGCCGACTCACGGACGCCCCTCCTCTTGGCCCTAAGAGGCCTCCAGCCCGGTTCTAGGTCCCGGGCGAAGTCGAACTTGAAGGTTCGCGTGCCCTGCGTCCGGCAAAGCATGGCTGAGGATCTTTTTGCAAGCAGCAACACCGCACAATTGAAGCCCCAGATCAAAAAACACAAACCCCAAGTCAAACCTATGCTCCAGAACACTTGAGGGGTCCGGAGTCAAGTCCCGAAAATATCTGCAAGTTACGCAATTGTTGGTTGGGGCTTGGGCCGTTGTTCGCTTTGCTTTCGGAGGACTTGGCCCTCGCTTGAGGGCACTGGGTGGTTTTGCAATCATCCTGACACCCAAAACCCACAGGGCTTAGAAGGGCCCCCTAAACCCCAATTACTGGTATGAACTCTAAGAACCTAAACCCTAAACCCTAAACTAAACCCTAAAACCTAACACCCTACACCCTACACCCTGAACCCTAAACCCTAAACCCTTAACCCGAAGCCCTAAACCCTAAACCCTAAACCCTAACCCTAAACCCTAAACCCTAAACCCTAATTAAACCCTAAACCCTAAACCCCTAACCCTGAACCCTGAACCCTGAACCCTGAACCCTAAACCCTAAACCCTAACCCTAAACCCTTAACCCTTAACCCTTAACCCTAAACCCTTAACCCTAAACCCTAAACCCTAAACCCTACCCACACTCCCCGCCGCGTCGCGGCTGCCCTGGAGTGGCGACTCTGTCACCTCAGCGAAAGGCTTGTCGAATTCGGGTTAGGGTTTTGGGGTTTGGGGTTTGGGGTTTCGGGTTCAGGGTTCAGGGTTTAGGGTTTAGGGGTTTACGGTTTAAGGTTTGGGGTTTGGAGTTTGGGGGTTGGGGTTTAGGGTTTAGGGTTTAGGGTTTAGGTTTTAGGTTTTAGGGTTTAGGGTTTGGGGTTTAGGGTTTGGGGTTTGGGGTTTAGGGATACGGGTGAGTTCCCAACGAAGTCCCTTTTCGGACCTGACATGTCTGGGCGGAGGGGGGGGGAGGTTCCAACTTGCCTTCCAACTCTGTTGGGGGCCCTTCCGAAGGACGGTTTAGGGTTCAGGGTTCAGGGTTCAGGGTTTAGGGTTTAGGGTTTAGGGTTTTGGGTTTTGGGTTTTGGGTTTTGGGTGACAGTCGCCACTCCAGGGCAGCCGCGACGCGGCGGGGAGTGTTGGTAGGGCTTAGGGTTCAGGGTTGAGGGTTTAGGGTTTGGGGTTTAGGGATTTGGGCTTTGGGTTTAGGGTTTAGGGTTGAGCACAACATACAAACGGACTCTGGATCTTAGTTGTCCAGTATCCTAGGGAAACCCTGGAATTCTAGAAGGATAATAATGCCTTAAAGAGGTTCAAGGTTTGCGAACTCTACTCCTAAGTAGTGGACACTCTGTAGGGGTCTAGGGGTTTAGGGGTTTAGGGGTTTAGGGGTTTAGGGGTTTAGGGGTTTTGGGGTTTTGGGGTTTTGGGGTTTTGGGGTTTTGGGGTTTTGGGGTTTTGGGGTTTTGGGGTTTTGGGGTTTTGGGGTTTTGGGGTTTGGGGTTTTGGGGTTTAGGGGTTTAGGGGTTTAGGGTTTAGGGTGCAGGGTTTAGGGTTTAGGGTTTAGGGTTTAGGGTTTAGGGTTTAGGGTTTAGGGCTGTTAATTGACACTCATGTTGTACCAAGAAGATCCACATTTTGGCTTGGTGACCCCGGAGGACTTGCGCTCTGGACCGCGCGTCTCGATGGTGACCTGCATTTTCTGGAACTAGGGTTTAGGACCAGTGGGTTTAGGGTTTAGCGTTTAGGGTTTAGGGTTTAGGGTTTTTAGGGTTTAAGGTAACCATGAAACCCCTAAAGAAGGGTTGCTCAAGTCTACGTCTCCTAATTTGGGATGAGGCTTCATCATGATCCATCTATGCTAGAAGTGGACCTTCTGACTACGTTTGTCTTAGCGATGCTAAACGATGCTCAACGCCCCGAACCCCGCAAAAAACACGTGAACTGATGTCTATCAGTACAGCGACAATCCACCCGAAGGCCCTCTCAAAGGCAGCACTGAAGGTTCATGTCACGACATAGACCGGAGGGAAGAATCCAAGTCCTACCAGTCAAAAATCACGTGGGCCTTTTGCCTTTGCCTAATTCGCTTCAAGTCCATGCCCCGAATCCTGAACCCGAACCTGGGACCCTACGGGCCTACTCAACACCAACCTTCAACTGCTGGCACCTGGTTGTCTGGATCTACGCTCCTGGCACAAACTCTCAATTTCAGGGGGGTTTACTTGACAAAGTGAGAAGAGGCCCGTGCTGAAAGAGGTTTAGTGTGGCGCACAGCGGAGGAAGGCCTAAGCGCGCGTTGCGGAGCGCCATCTCTTTTTTTGAGCAACGCTCTTGAGACTGTGGTCACTAGGGTTTCAGGAGCACTGGGCGAAGGCCCCCCCCCCCCCCCCCCCTGAAATGACCCAAAACCAAACGAAACTTACTTCAGGTGGGAGAGTCTATAGGGGCTTTGTCTCCTGCTCTTGTCTCATGTCAGGGGCTGAGTTTATTCAGGTTCGGGGCCTTCGAGCCTTCTCATCTTTAGCGCTCATTGGCTTCTCCTCTATCAGGGCTAGATTCAGGAGTTTACTCGATCCTGGAAGCTCCGGATCCTACAGCCCAGCCTGGGTTTAGGGCGAAGGGCTTAGGGCTTCGGGCTCAGGGCTTCGGGCTTAGGGTTTAGGGCTTAGGCTCAGTCCAAATGCATGCCGGCCATGCAGCACGTTGCGCTCGCCCTCGTTGCGCTTGAGGAAGGGGCGAATCCGGACCGCGACCTCTTCCAGCTGCTTCGGCTTGCGGCTAGGGCTCAAAAATCCTCCGAGGAACCTATTGTGGGTTCTTCACGTCTTCGGAGATTCTGATTCGGGGTAGACAGGCTGTAAGGTCGATATTTCAACTCCCAAACGAGAAAACTTCAAATCTCGAACCCTAAACCCTAAACCCTAAACCCTAAACCCCAAACCCTAAACCCTAAACCCTAAACCCTAAACCCTAAACCCTAAACCCTGTAACGCTCAAGCACCTGAATGTACTCGTTGTCCCCAGGCCGGGTGAAGCTTGACCTTCTCTTCACCTCCGAAGGGGAAGCAGCTCTCTGGTGCTTCGGTTTCTTCAACCCTAAACCCTAAACCCTAAACCCTAAACCGATTCACTCGTCTGTTGACTAACAGCGTAAGTTGCTGCGCAGCACGCTGCACGCGCTTTTTTGATGCTCCTGGTCATGGCAGCTCACTGCTACCTGGTCTGTCCATGACATCAACGTGTGATTCTTGCGCTGTGTCTGCACCTGGCGAAGCTCTACCCTTCAACCAGTGCGTTCAACGCCCTCCGGGCTGCAAGACGTTTCCAGTCCTCTCATCATTAAAACGAGTTCAACCTTTGAACACGAAGAGAGTATCACAAGAAGCTACTGCCAGAAGGTCTGGGGCAACAGCTGGGCTGGAGGAGCCAGAGAAAGATGACTTCGTGTCATACTGCACGACCTCTTCCAATCCAAAGACCACCCCATCACCGTCCATGTCCCGCAGGGCATAGAAGTTACCCTCCTCGTTGCCCACAAAGACAGTGCCCTCCGCGTCAATCGTGGGGGCGCTCCATCCGTTTGGCAGGCACATGGAGCGGACCCCACGCTGGGTCCGGGCGATGTATCCTTGTATATCATAACAAGGGTACCCTTTTTGGGGATGGTGACCTGATAAAGGAACCTGGAACCAAAATGAGCACCACTGGGCTACCAAGTATCCCTAAACCCTAAACCTTAAACCCTAAACCCTAAACCCTAAACCCTATAAAAAACCAAGTAGCCCTCCATATCACCAGCCTGGAGGAGTCCTGTTTGGGTTGGCCCATGAAAGATCCATCGAAGGGCGCCCGTCTCTGCATCGTAGACTTGGACGTCGCACGTTGCTCCCGGCAAGACTTGCTGGCACAAGGGCATGACAACCTGGACCCAGGAGTTGCTCAGGGAATAAAAGGGTGCCCTTCTTGGTTTCAAGGAAAAAGGGAATCTGGGTTCAAGGGACAAGGGAACCCAAACCCCCCAAACAAAAGGGAATCAGGGCCTGCTCTGCCTAGCAACAGAGTTGCCCGGGAGGTTCTTGACCGCCCCAACGGCTGGGGCGTTGTTCGGCGGCCGTGGCGTCGTGACCTGCCACACCAGCTCCCCATCACCTTACTGTTGGCTGGTAGGGACTGAGGGAATGAGGCGCCCTATATCCCCCTATATATACCGTTAAGGGATTCCTTAGGGCAGCTCACTCCCTCATTCCCTCATTCCCACGAACCAACAGCAAGCCACTGATCTTGTAGGCACTGAGCGTTCCCGGGCTGTATTCGGACTTCATGAAGACGGGCTGGTTGTTATTCACTGCGTAGACCAAGCCGTTTGGGCCAACTGCCGCACTTCCATCGGTCCAGGTGTCATTCCTTCCACCGTTCTTCCACATGAGAGACCCCGTGCCCACCTCCAGGCGGTAGACCTTTCCAGTCATGTCCTGGAAGACAAAGGAGCTGTCGTCCACAAAGAGGGGCAAGAAGTTCCAAACAGCGGTGTCTGGCTTGAATGTCCACAACTCTTCGCCTGTGCTCGCGTTAAGGCCCTTCACCTTCTGATTGGCCTGGAGGTTTGGAGAGGGAAAGCGCCAGTCACATGCCGTAAGTGCAACACCTGCATGAACCATGTTGAAACCGTTGTCCTGTCCAATTTCGTCGGCCACATGGGTTTTCCACACTTTATGGCCTGTCTGCATATCCAAGGCAATGACGTCGCCGTATGTGTCACTGACATACACCATGCCATCGTACACCGATGGAGCATTGATCACCTCTGCCGGAAGTGACGAGTACTCCCAAAGCATGGTGCCGTTCTTGTCGAACTTCCTGACCCCGTCTGCCGCTGACAGGAAGATGTTGCTTTCCCCATCGATGACGGTGCCATATGTCAGAGTCGCAAATCTTCCGAGCGGATGATGCCACTGCCATGCGAGCTTGTCCGAGAAGTAGAAAGGTGCGGCATGCGCAGATACTGCGTACTGCGGAAAGTTCCCACGACCGGTGGCCCATGAATAGCTCGCGTCGGCCTCTTCCTTACTTTTCCAATAACCAAGGGGAAAAAAAGTTAAACTTCAATATTCCTACTAAATAAGGAAACCCAAAAAGTTTAAGGTTCAACTAAAGGCGAAGTCAGCTTCTACACTGTTTGCCTTGGTGAGCAAGTGGGTTTGCAGAAATGAGAACTGCGCGCAGCTCCTTAGTTGTCCCGTAACCTGGGGGAAATCAAGGTTCACCTTTTGGGATTATCAGGGGACTATACTAGCCCAAAAACGTTAAAGGCTACCTGCTCTACTACTCGGGCTCTCTGCATCTTGACATTCCGCTCCAGCCGCAGTGCTGGCCGCGCTGCTCCTCAACGCGACGATGGCTGCTAAAGTGGCGACAAAGCCAGTCGGGATCATTTGCGTCATGGTATGGAAACGGAAATCTCGAGGCTGATGGGGAATTCCAGCCAGAAACTGCAGATGCCCAAACTTTCACAGCCCTGCGCTCCCTAAACCCCCCCCCCTAAACCCCCTAAACCCCCTAAAAACCCCCTAAACCCCCCTAAACCCCCTAAACCCCCTAAACCCCTAAACCCCCTAACCCCCTAACCCCCTAAACCCCCTAAACCCCCTAAACCCCCCCCTAAACCCCCTACAAACCCCTAAACCTCCCTACACCCCCTAACCCCCTACACCCCCTAAACCCCCTAAACCCCCTAAACCCCCTAAACCCCCTAAACCCCCTAAACCCCCTAAACCCCCTAAACCCCCTACACCCCCTAAACCCCCTAAACCCCCTAAACCCCCTAAACCCCCTAAACCCTACTTTGGGAAATGGGCCACAGGATGGACTCGGCCTCCTTCGCACTGGGCGTGGCATCCTCGCGCATGGGCGGTGCAGAAGCCGTAGCTGCCACGGACCTTCTATCAGGTTTGGGGTTTAGGGTTTAGGGTTTGGGGTTTAGGGTTGAGGGTTTAGGGTTTAGGGTTTAGGGTTTAGGGTTTAGGGTTTAGGGTTGAGGGTTGAGGGGTTGAGGGTTGAGGGTTTGAGGTTTAGGGTTTAGGGTTTAGGGTTTAGGTTTTTTTGGTTTAGGGTAGGGTTTAGGGTTTAGGGTTTTAGGGTTTAGGTTTAGGTTTAGGGTTTAGGGTTTAGGTTTAGTTTTAGGTTGGGTTTAGGTTTAGTTAGGGTTTAGGGTTTAGGGTTTAGGGTTTAGGGTTTAGGTTTAGGGTTTAGGTTTAGGTTTAGGGTTTAGGGTTTAGGGTTTAGGGTTTAGGGTTTAGGGTTTAGGGTTTGGGGTTTAGGGTTTAGGGTGTTAGTTTAGGTTTTTAGGGGGTTTAGGGTTTAGGGTTTTTTAGGGTTTAGGGTTTAGGGTTTAGGGTTTAGGTTTTTAGGGGTTGCGGTCTTGCTGCTATGGTACATGTCCAACATCCCCCAGAAAAGAGCTGCCAATACCTAAACCCTTTAGCCATACATCAATGATCATACATGCTATCGGTAGATACCCTGCATCCTGAAACCCTAAACCCTAAACCCTAAACCCTAAACCCTAAACCCTAAACCCTAAACCCTAACCCTTAACCCTAAACCCTAAACCCTAAACCCTAAACCCTAACCCCTAAACCCTAAACCCTAAACCCTAAACCCTAAACCCTAAACCCTAAACCCTAAACCCTAAACCCTAAACCCTAAACCCTAAACCCTAAACCCTAAACCCTAGCTAGCAGCTGGGTTGCTGAGTCGCGTGCGGTGCTTTGGAGTCGTCCGCAGCTGCCTGCCAGCGCTTAGGGAGCGGGAGCCCAGGTCTTGAGGGAGAGGCTAACATGCACTGGCCTCTACGGTTTAGGATTTGGCGTTTCAGGTTTAGGGTTTAGAGTTTTCGGATTTGGAGTCTAAGGGTTTTTAGGGTTTGAGTTTAGGCACCATACACTTTGACATGCCACCTGCGACTTCAGCACTGTACTCCTTTCCGCAAATTTCTGCGACTTCGCATCCAACATCTTGAGCCCTGCGCCCGAAGCTCAGAACCTTCACCCTCAAACCCGACCCCGTGAGAGATTTGTGCGCCGGGTGTTGGGATTGAGCCTTGAAGACTCTGCGGACTTTGTTTGAACTTTTGGGGCCTTAGAGCTTAGAAGGTTTAGGTTATATAGTTCCCGGGCTTAGGCAAAAGCTCGATGGGTAGCTCTGGGGCTGAAGGGGCGTGCTCAGGTCTACCAACCCTAAACCCTAAATCCTAAACCCTGATGCTCTCGTGAATTGAAGCAAGCCGGGTTCTGGATCCACCCACTCCCTTGCAACGGCCTTGCAACGGCCTTGCAACGGCCTTGCAACGGCCTTGCAATGAGCCTCTCAATTCCGGGTGTCTCGATTTGGCCGTCCCGAAAACCCCAAACGCTAAACCCTAAACCCAAAACCCAAACCCTAAACCCTAAACTCAGAGAACCCTCAACCCTAAACCCTAAACATTAACCCTAAACATTAACCCTAAACCCCAAACCCTAAACCCTAAAACTCAAAGAAAACTCCTTCAATATGCAGGCGCGGGCCTCCTCCTCGTCCTCTTCGTCGGGCTCCTGGAAAGTGGAGAGGGGGGGGGAAACAGACACAATTCTTTGGGACCATCATGAACCCTAACAGGGTTCAGGGTTCAGGGTTTAGGGTTTGGGGTTTAGGGTTCGGGTTTCTAAGGTTGTACCTTAATAGGGGTTCTAGGTTGTATCGGGTATATGTTCCCCAATTGTAAGATTCAAATTTGGTCCACAACTTGGCTGCACTCAGGAGGGTAGCTGTAAATTAAACTGTGTGCTGCCTTACTAAGAAACCCAATAAACCCAAAAAAGGTAAGGATCTAAAGTTACGGTAAAGTACCCCTAAACCCTAAACCCTAAACCCTAAACCCTAAACCCTAAACCCTAAGCCCTAAAACACAAAGCCAATTGTAAAGCCAATTGTAAGATTCAAATTTGGTCCACAAATTTCCAGCCTTTCAACATGCACCAGCCAGGGGCATGACCGGGGTCTAGGGGCGTCGAGCTTGGGCGGCGCAAAAGGAAGGGGGCTTTGTAGGGCTTTGGGGTTTAGGGGTTTAGGGGTTTAGGGTTTAGGGTTTAGGGTTTAGGGTTTTGGGTTTTGGGTTTTGGGTTTTGGGTTTTGGGTTTTGGGTTTTGGGTTTTGGGTTTTGGGTTTTGGGTTTTGGGTTTTGGGTTTTGGGTTTTGGGTTTGGGGGGGGGGGGGGGGGGTTGTTCTAGTATAATCCCATAGGGACCATAAGGGAATACTTTCAGGAGAAATGTTCCGACCCCTATAGCCTACGAGCATGGAGCTCAAGAAAATGTTCTTGAAGGTTATAAGGTTTAGTGGTTTACGCTCAAGGCGGGGACCCGAACCGAACTCAAAGCTCCAAAGCGAACTTCTTTGCCCGAAAATGCAAGAACTGGGAACTCCCTATAGAAACCCCTAAAAGCCCTAAACGAACCCGAGAACCCTGTACTACCCTCGGCCAAACGGAAGCCATGGGGGTCCTTTTTCTTGCCCTGGCTGCGGATGTCTTCCAAGAGCTGGGCCTGCATCTTACTGAAGTGAATAGCGTTTAGGGTTCAGGGGGTTTAGGGTTTAGGGTTTAGGGTTTGGGGTTAGGGTTTAGGGTTTAGGGTTTAGGGTTTAGGGTTTAGGGTTTAGGGTTTAGGGTTTAGGGTTTAGGGTTTAGGGTTTAGGGTTTAGGGTTTAGGGTTTAGGGTTTAGGGTTTAGGGTTTAGGGTTTAGGGTTTAGGGTTTAGGTTGTAGGGTTTAGGGTTTAGGGTTTAGGGTTTAGGGTTTAGGGTTTAGGGTTTAGGGTTTAGGGTTTAGGGTTTAGGGTTTAGGGTTTAGGGTTTAGGGTTTAGGGTTTAGGGTTTAGGGTTTAGGGTTTAGGGTTCAGCATCTCAAGTCCGAGCATTCACTAGTCAAGCAGCTTGTCAAGGGCTGGAATAAAACCCCACCCACACAAGAAACCCATAACATTGAGAAAATACAAAGTCCACTCAACACATTCCCAGTAGGCTTAAAGCTCAAGGTCCAATTGGCCGAAAACCCAAAATCTAATTCTCAAACCGGGGAGGGTGGGGTGGGGGGGGGTGGCCCCTCATTTGGGGGTGGTTTTGGAGGCAAACTTTCCCTCTCAAAGGGGAACATCTGAAAAACCTTGACGAACCTTTGAAATCTTGAAACCGGTGAAGGCTCGGTTTTGGTCAAAAACCCAGAAAACGAGAGGCCACCCAGAACCGTCGATTTCAGTACTAAAAAATCGCATTTTTAACTGGGACCCGGGCCGATCCTGGGGTCCCCCTCATTTGGGGTGTTTTTGGAGGCAAACTTTCCCTCTCAAGGGGGGGTCGGGGTCTCCGAATACTATTTTGCCTTTAAAATTGAAGAATACGGCCCCCCCTTGACCAAAACTAGGCTGTGAAAAGGTCGCGGGGGCCGTGGGGGCGGCCCTTCATCAGAATTGAGGGTTAAAAACCTTGAAACACCCTGAAAAACATTGAAAAACCTTGAAAAACACTGAAAAACTTTGAAAAACATTGAAAAAAAACTCTGGGCCCTAAACCCTATGCCCCAAACCCTAAGAGCCCTAAACCCTATACCCCAAACCCTCTGAGCCCTAAACCCTATGCCCCAAACCATACAGCCCTAAACCCTATGCCCCAAACCCTACAGCCCTAAACCTGAAAAAAACCTGAAAAACATTGAAAAACAGAAAAATTCTGAAAAACCTTGAAGAACCTCGAAAACTTGAAATTCTGAAACCGGTAAAGGCTCGGTCGCCAGAGATCCAGAAACGAGAGGCCACCCAGAACCGTCGATTTCAGTACTAAAAAATCGCATTTTTAACTGGGACCCGGGCCGATCCTGGGGTCCCCCTCATTTGGGGCGTTCTTTCCCTCTCAAGGGGGGGTCGGAGTTTGAGGCAAGGGGGGGTCTCCGAAGACTATTTTGCCTTTAAAATTGAAAAATACGACCCCCCCTTGACCAAAACTAGGCTGTGAAAAGGTCGCGGGGGCGGCCCTTCATCAGAATTGAAAGTTAAAAACCCTGAAACACCCTGAAAAACATTGAAAAACATTGAAAAACCTTGAAAAACACTGAAAAACTCTGAAAAACCTTGAAAAAAAACTCTGGGCCCTAAACCCTATGCCCCAAACCCTATGCCCCAAACCCTACAGCCCTAAACCCTCTTGAGGGTTAAAAACCCTGAAACACCCTGAAAAACCTTGAGAAACCTTGAAAAACACTGAAAAACTCTGAAAAACCTTGAAAAAAAAAAACTCTGGGCCCTAAATCCTAGAGCCCAGAAAAAAACAAAACAATATGCCGACGAAGGTCATTAGGGTTTAAATATACATAGTAATAGGGTTTAGGGTTTAGGGTTTAGGGTTTAGGGTTTAGGGTTTAGGGTTTAGGGTTTAGGGTTTAGGGTTTAGGGTTTAGGGTTTAGGGTTTAGGTTGGGTTAGGTAGGGTTTAGGGTTTAGGGTTAGGGTTTAGGGTTTAGGGTTTTAGGGTTTAGGGTTTAGGGTTTAGGGTTTAGGGTTTAGGGTTTAGGGTTTAGGGTTTAGGGTTTAGGGTTTAGGGTTTAGGGTTTAGGGTTTAGGGTTTAGGGTTTAGGGTTTAGGGTTTAGGGTTTAGGGTTTAGGGTTTGCCGAGTTTGGGGGTTTGGCACACGACCTAGGCAGGAGCACAGTCTCGCGCAGGAAACGTGCAGGAGAGCGAGATTTGGCCCCCTGCGCTGGGCCAATAAGGCTGGCCAGTTGCGCATCTACTTGCGATGAACATCAATGAACACCACGTTTCGGGAGCCCCCCCCGCCAAGAATTCCGTGCCTAAGCCTGTGGGTCAATCTAAATCCCTAAACCCTAAACCCTCTTACGCTTGACGTTAGAAAGCCCCGTCGTGTTGGCGCAAGCCGTGCCAAGCCCCAAGATCCCGCGAAACAACTGTAAGGGTCACGGTTTAGGGTTTAGGGCTTAGGGGTCAGGGTTTAGGGTTTAGGGTTTAGGGTCTAGGGTTGAGGGTTGAGGGTTGAGGGTTGAGGGTTGAGGGTTGAGGGTTGAGGGTTGAGGGTTGAGGGTTGAGGTTTGAGGGTTGAGGGTTGAGGGTTGAGGGTTGAGGGTTGAGGGTTGAGGGTTGAGGGTTGAGGGTTGAGGGTTGAGGGTTGAGGGTTGAGGGTTGAGGGTTGAGGGTTGAGGGTTGAGGGTTGAGGGTTGAGGGTTTAGGGTTTAGGGTTTAGGGTTTAGGGCTACGTTCAGGGCTCCGGCTACTTTGAATGCCATCTAAGCATCGGCGAGAGACCAAGCTCCCGGCCGGGTCCAGGAAGAACATCGTGATACGCTTCTGGTCGTCCCGGTCCTCCTGTTTAAGAAGAAGAGGAAGAGAAAGCTGCATGCACAGCCAAACAACGAATGCCCAACGTGCTGGAGCATTTGGCACAGTTGCTTTGGCATAGTTTCGGCTCTGCTTGCGAAACAAACGAGGTTCCCTCATATCAACATCCACACGCCTATAATGTAGCGAACAAGCATGTGGGGTTCACGAAAATAAGAAACCCCTATAATGGACCCCCAAATAGTAGGATTCCCCTATCATGCGGACCCCAAGAAGTAAACCAATTTCGAAGACCCCCATGTCCCTGCAAGTGTTTTCAGCGATCGTTTCAGGAGAGAAAAATGCACCTGGTAGCTGTTACCCCCGCCATGCAACCCTTAGCCCGTCACCTTCAAGACCTTCAAGAGCTGGAAAAAGACCTTCTAAAACATCAGGGTTTAGGGTTTAGGGATTGGGCTTTAGGGGTTTAGGGTTTAGGGTTGTAGGGTTTAGGGTTTAGGGTTTAGGGTTTAGGGTTTAGGGTTTAGGGTTAGGGTTTAGGGTTTAGGGTTTAGGGTTTAGGGTTTAGGGTTTAGGGTTTAGGGTTTAAGGGTTAGGGGTTTAGGGTTTAGGGTTTAGGGTTTAGGGTTTAGGGTTTAGGGTTTAGGGTTTAGGGTTTAGGGTTTAGGGTTTAGGGTTTAGGGTTTAGGGTTTAGGGTTTAGGGCACTTAGAACCCCTGGCCCGCATCTGGCTCCCGCGTCATCGCCAGCGGCCAGCTGTGTGTCGCGACATCTCCCGCGTCACCCTTCTCACCCTGCGCGCGGAGGGCTTAAAACCCCCAAACAAATCATTTAGGGCTTAGGGTTTGGGAGTTTAGGGCTTAGGGTTTGGGAGTTTAGGGCTTAGGGTTTAGGGTTTAGGGCTTAGGGTTTAGGGTTTAGGGCTTAGGGCTTAGGGTTTGGGAGTTTAGGGTTTCGGGCTTAGGGTGCGAAATCCAGGCTTTGTGAACTGAATAGCTCGCCATGTGATCGCTGACTATCCCGCTAGCAACCACCGAGCATGCCTGAAAGGAAAGTGACAGTTTCGCAACGGGCGACAACAAAAACATCACCTTCTGAACTCTCCGTCACAAATCACATCCCCATGCTCCAGACTGTCTAAACCGAAGCAAGCCCCCTGCCGTAAACCTAATGTAGGAGCCTGAATAATGAGAACAGGGTTTTTGGGGGGTTGTTGTACTCCAACCCCTGTATTAACCCAGATCTGTGTAAAATACAATATAACTAAATTCAAAATGAATCAGATAGTCGACTTAAAAGTATCGGGGTTTTGGGGTTTTGGGGTTTTGGGGTCCCAAAACCCCTTAATTAAGGAATATACCCTAATTTATACTAAGGATCCTTATTATGAATTAGGGTATATATATATACCTACTCCCCGAACTCCTCGGCACCTCCTCATAGCGCACGCGGCGGCAAGGCAGGGACTCGCTCGCGTCGGGGGCCGCCTGGGCTGTGGCAGGCAAGGCAGTCGCAGGGTGTCAGAGGCGTCCGCGTGGAGTTTGCAGCTGTTTGGAGCGCAGGACCTAAACCCTAAACCCTAAACCCTAAACCATAAACTCTGAAATCAACCTGGAACGACCCCAGGCCGAGGGCGCCACCGAGGCTATCGACCTCAGCCAGTGGAAGGGGAGGGGAGGAGGGGAGGGAGGGGAGGGGGGGGGGGGGAGGAGGGGGGGAGGGGGAGGAGAGGGGGAGGAGGGGGAGGAGGGGGAGGAGGGTGGGAGGAGGGGGAGGAGGGGGAGGAGGGGGAGGAGGGGGGAGGAGGGGCGAGAGGGGAGAGAGGGGACAGAGGGGAGAGAGGGGAGAGAGGGGAGAGAGGGGAGAGAGGGGCGAGAGGGGAGAGAGGGGCGAGAGGGGGTCGCAAGCTTGCAAAATCACGCCTCCTATTGCCTCCAATTCCCCAGTGTTCCCCATAACGCCTCAACAGGAACCCCAGAAACTCGCAGACATCAGAAAGCATCACGCACCGAGCTTGTCATCCAAGCCCCATGAGAAGCTGAAAACCTGCAACCCCGAACCCGAAACCTTAACATGCCCTAACTGGTCAAGAGCGCCCTACCCTATACTCTCGAAGCACCTGGCCAGAAAGACAAGGTGCGCGCACTCTTACACGCACAAAGACACACACACACACACACACACACACACACACACACACACACACACACACACACACACAGAGAGAGACAGACAGACACAGCCGAACAAAGACACCCTAAACCCTAAACCCCAAACCCTAAACCCTAAACCCTAAACCCTAAACCCTGGGCAAATAAACAGAACTCTGCATCTCCGAATCCTCTTCATGAATTCATAAACCCTAAGCCCTAAACCCTCTTTGTGAATTCCTGGTGGGTACTAAGAGCGGCCCCACTGCGAGCTAACTTCTAACGAGTCTGCAGAGAAACCCACCTGAAAAACCCATGTACCTTTTGTCGTCCCTACAGACCTAAGTAGCCCCCAAATTAACCCCCAAAGAACCCCTAGAGTCCCTTATAAGGGTCCCTCCTGCAGTCCAAACCTGTACCCCAATACCTAACAACCCTAAGCTCTGCCGAGCCGCATTGGAGGCCCCGAGAGGGTGACCTCCCGCGCGAAGGGAATCTCACGGCTGAGCCGCCGCCTCGAGAAGCTCTTGGGGGGTTTGGTGTTGGGGAGTTTAGGGTTTAGGGTTTAGGATTTAGGGCTTAGGGCCTAGGGTTTAGGGTTTAGGGTTTAAAAATAGTTTGGGGTCTAGGAGGTTGGAGGTTGCTGTCCGACCTTTCTAAGACCATCCACTCGCTACCTCCAGACAACTTGGCTGCACTTGTCTTATAACCCAAAAAGACTGAGGATCTAAAGTTACAATAAAGAACCTCAATGACAAAGGAATGTTGTTCTGCTTGTCTTTGGCGCTACGTGCACGGATCACGTGTAACTCCTGCAAGGTGGTTCGCAGAAGTCTCAGGTTCGGGAGACTTGACTGAGGCCCTCGAATCAAGCTTGGGCTTTTGCCCGCTCCTTGCACTGACAGGCTTGTTACGGTGTAGGGAGCTTGGGGACGTGTCTCTGAGAAGGGATTTGGGGCTTGGGCAGATCGGTGTGAGGGTCCTTAAACCCTGGAACTTGAACACCCTTGGAAACCCCAATCTCGAAAGGTGTTCAACTTCAGCCCCCCTCAACCCCTAACAAAAATCCCCTAAACCCTAAACCCTAGACCCTAAACCCTAAACCCTAAACCCTAAACCCTAAACCCTAAACCCTACATGTCACATCCCAATCCTCACCGAGCCGGTGGCGTCTCTGACTTCTCGGACTTCTCTGGTAGCCGTGCGGGAAGGCCACGGCCAACCAGGTCGGTCGCCTCAGATTCCGAAGGCTGAAGGCTGCTGGCCAGACTTTGGAATCAGAAGGGGTTTAGGGTTTCGGGTTTAGGGTAGTTTAGGGTTTAGGGTTTAAGGTTTAGGGTTTAGGGTTTAGGGTTTAGGGTTTCGGGTTTAGGGTTTAGGGTTTAGGGTTTAGGGTTTAGGGTTTAGGGTTTAGGGTTTAGGGTTTAGGGTTTAGGGTTTAGGGTTTAGGGTTTAGGGTGTAGGGTTTAGGGTTCAGGGTTCAGGGTTCGCACCATCTAAAGATCGAAATCCGGAGATCAATAAGCAAACCCGCACTTGAACCCTTGGAGGACCACCGTTTCAAGCGAGAGACTCCCCGTATTTTGATCCCTCAACCCCACAACCCGGAACCATAAACCCCAAAACCCTGACCCAAAGCGCTGAACTAAATAGACTCCCCCAAACCCTAAACCCTAAACCCCAAAACCCTAAACCCTAAACCCCCCAAGAAGCCTGAACAAAAAACTCATGCCGAGCAAAGCTGCATCAGACTTATCTGCCTTTGGCTTGTCCTTCGCCGGAGCAGCCTGGAAATCAAAGAGCTTTGTGCGTAAACCCCAAACCCTAAACCCTAAACCCTAAACCCTAGGTCGAGGGCCAGCACGGCCTAAATCCCGAACCCTTGGGTGTTGCTCTGCTGAAGGCGGGTGAGGGCTCAATCTCCCAGATCCGGTTTAGGGTTTAGGGTTTAGGGTTTAGGGTTTAGGGTTTAGGGTTTAGGGTTTAGGGTTTAGGGTTTAGGGTTTAGGGTTTAGGGTTTAGGGTTGAGGGTTCAGGGTTCAGGGTTTGGGGTTTAGGGTTTAGGGTTTAGGGTTTAGGGTTTAGGGTCTCCGAAAAGTTTCGGAGGGGGTTTCGGTTCTGGGGCCAGCGGACCTGGAGCCTGAAGCCAACCTCCAACATGAGTCTTCTCCAGCAAGCCGCAAGGAGACCTGTAGCCGATCGCCGGAGGCCCCTTAGCAAGTAACCCGGAAACCAAACCCCGAGGCCCAAAATGGCACAAAAGCACAGAAGCACGGGTTTGCCAAGAAGCCTTTCTTCCCTAAGCCTAAGCCCCAAAGCCTGGACACCGGCTCTTTTTCGCTCCTCCAGAAACAATCATTACAAAAAGCAAGTGTCCGGGCTTAAAACCGGATCCGGTCGACTGTTTGGAGGGAAACCCTAAACCCTAAACCCTAAACAGGGAGGAGGGTCCGGAGTGGCCTTCTCTCAAAAGGCGGGGAGAGTAGAAAGCAGGAAGGGCCATCTCAACCCCCTGAGCCCTGACATCTCAAACAAGCTTCGCAGCTGCAACTCCCGAAGCCCTGAGCCGCAAAGCCCGAGCCAAAACCCCGAACAACCCTACACCCGAACAACCCTAAACCCTAAACCCTAAACCCTAAACCCTAAACCCTAAACCCTAAACCCTAAACCCACGCGAGGCTCCCCAGACCCCGAAGCTCCTAAACCTGCCTCTGCCGACTTCTTTGCGGCTGGCAGCGGCGGCCTTCGAGCGGCCTCCAACACATTCAGGCCCCCAGGGTTTAGGATTTAGGGTTTGGGGTTTGGAGTTTAGGGTTTAGGGTTTAAGGTTTAGGGTTTAGGGTTTAGGGTTTCGGGGTTTAGGGTTTCGGGTTTGGGGTTTGGAGTTTGGGGGTTTGGGGTTTAGGGTTTAGGTTTTAGGGTTTAGGGTTTAAGGGTTAGGGTGCAAGTTGCACAGCTGTGGCTGCTTTCCTTGGGCGGTTGTCACGACCCCCATGGTTGAGGAGATTTGCGGAGCCTTCAGAATAAGTAAATTCTCAGCGAGGCGTGTGCTACGGGAGGAGGTGGCTTTCTGTTTTCTGAAGCTCTATTATTTGTACCCTTCTGTTCATCCATTTTCTTGTCAAAAAGCCTGACGAACTTTGCTTGTTCAAGCATGTTTTCTTGCATTTTTTCGGAGCACCTGACAAATTAGTAAATGTAACCTGTGGGCAGGCTACTGGATGTTTTCATGACACGTTCGGCTCAATGAAATGACATCCCGAGCAAGACCCGGCAAACCCAGGAAGTAAGGCTCAGTGGCAAAGTCCGAATCTCAGAATCTCATTGAGCCCACCGAATCCAAGAAAAGAAAGAGGGAGAGAGCAAAAAAGAAACGATCCTGAAAGAACGCCAGCGTCTTCGGATTTCAAGGCCCCTAGGGGCAGCGTGCTACTTAAACCCTAAGCCCTAAACCCTAAAATCCTCAAAGCAACGCCGAAGGAAACGTTCTTGGCTTCCAGTCTCTCAGCTCCCCGGCGCTCTTCGCCGCCGCGTCAGCGTTGCTCCGTGCGGAGGCTGAGGACACAAGCTTCCGAGCTTCACTTCGAAATTCAGGGGGGGTGTTAGGGTTTGGGGTTTAGGGTTTGGGGTTTAGGGTTTGGGGTTTAGGGTTTGGGGTTTAGGGTTTGGGGTTTAGGGTTTGGGGTTCAGGGTTTAGGGTTTAGGGTTTGGGGTTTGGGGTTTAGGGTTCAGGGTTTGGGGTTTAGGGTCACTTCGTGCTTTCAAAGTGCTGCAGGTCACAAGACTCCTTGATCAAAATTGCCGTGAAAACGAACGAGGGTTAGATGTAGAGTTCATGGGCGAGCCCAAGCCCAAAGAAGCCCTGAGCCCTTAAGCTTTTCAGCCTGAGGGCAAGGCCCTGTAGAAAAGATTGAAATGGGCAGCCTGTGGTAAAGAGAGGCTGCAAGTTATTTACACACCACAGGCCTGCAAGCACACCTCAAAACATGATGCATCCCCTTTACCATACCTGCCATACCAGTGTAGTACACGTGAGACGTCCCAAGCCGGTAGCCCCTTACTGGCACAGCCTTCAACCCTATCCCCGCTTTGTACAATGTGCTTGAGTGAAGCCCAAGCCCTGAACCCATGAACCCCAACCGTGCAACGCAAAAGCCCCAGGCACAAAACACCCCAAAAGACATTTTAAAAAGGTCGACAAAGGGGGGGGGGGCATGTCATGTAAGCTGCCTCGCGCCATGGCCAAGCCATGGCGGCCGCGTGCGCGGCCGGAACGGGTCTTCAGGTTTGTTCTTTGGGGGGGTGGGGGGAGTTAGGGCCTGGGGGTGGTGCTGAGTGAGGCTGGGAGCTTGAGGTCTAATGTTCTTGCACGCGGTTCCGGACGAACTGCTCGACAGCGCGCTGGCAAGATTCGTTTGGCGCGAACTGCGGGGTTCAACAATACGTGTTGATCTCCGCCTCTCGTGTGTCTAGTTTTTGGGGGGCATTGGCATCGGGGCTCTGGACCTCTGGCCAAGCTTTTGGCTTGAGCAGACGCACCACAATCTGCGATTGTAGGAAGTAAGGCTACTCGATGGCATAAACCACGTACTTACGAAGCAAAAGAATGAATGCCGTTTCCTCACCTACTGACCAAAAGACGCTGTGAAGTCCTCAGACAGGTGAAACATGAGACATGAGATGCACGTATGATGGCATGCATGTGCTTCAACTTCAAGAATCCGGCAAATACTAAGCCGCAAAACTGGTGAAGGGGACGGACGAAACGGCCGCCACAAACTTCATTCCCAAACCCTGAGAGAAACCTCCTAAACCCTAAACCCTAAGCCCTGAACCGCGATCATTGCAGTTAGAACTGTAGGACCCTATAGGACTCGCAACCGCAGATCGCCGTGAGCCGACACCCAACAAGGCAATTTGGGCTGATGACATATGGGGGTTTCCGAAAACAGGGGTACTCTTTTTGGGGGTCCCCCTCAAGGGGGGATTCTATTCCCTTTTGGGGCGCAAAAGGGGTACCACCATTTTGGGAAATACCCATGTAGAAACCCTAAACCCTAAACCCTAAACCCTAAACCCTAAACCCTAAACCCTAAACCCTAAACCCTAAAACCCTAAAACCCTAAACCCGAACCCGCAATGCCCCTCCAGCTCCCAGGCCATTTTTGCTCTGCCGGTGAAGCCGCACTCACGCTTCGGGGATGAAATCTTCGGGCCTGGGGGGCAAAGCCAGAGTGTTGTTTCTTTTTTTTTTTTTTTTTGGGGGGGGGGGGGGGGGGCTTCCCTAAACCCTAAACCCCAAACCCTGAACCCCAAACGCTAAACCCTAAACCTTCTCAGTTTTGGATTCCGAGCTGCCACCTCCTGTTTCAGCTGAGAAAGAACCTCCTAGACACGCACCGATTTTCTGAGCAGTGTGTCAACACTAAGGGGGTCCAACATGCGGGGTAAGAGGGGATAGGGTTTAGGGTTTAGGGTTTAGGTTTAGGGTTTAGGGTTCAGGGTTCAGGGTTCAGGGTTCAGGGTTCAGGGTTCAGGGTTCAGGGTTCAGGGTTCAGGGTTCAGGGTTCAGGGTTCAGGGTTCAGGGTTCAGGGTTCAGGGTTTAGGGTTTAGGGGTTTAGGGTTTAGGGTTTAGGGTTTTAGGGTTTAGGGTTTAGGGTTTAGGGTTTAGGGGGTTTAGGGGTTAGGGTTTAGGGTTAGGGTTTAGGGTTTTGGGTTTAGGGTTTAGGGTTTAGGGTTTTGGGTTTAGGGTTTAGGGTTTAGGGTTTAGGGTTTAGGGTTTAGGGTTTAGGGTTTAGGGTAACAGAGTTCGTGGATCGCTGTGCGCCCGCGCCGCCAGCGCGCGCACTCGGCGCCACGGCTTCGTTTTCTCCGAGGCTTCGAGGCTGCTCGCACTTTTGGGGTCGCAAAAATCGTGCTGTGGCTGAGTTTGGGGTCCTCTCAGGCTTGGGCTCACGAAAACGACACTCCCCGCCGCTTTTGGATATCTGGGCCCGTGAAATGCGAAGCTGTCAGTGCGTTTGGACATCTAGGCCTCTAGGCCCTAAACCCTAAACCCTACACCCCAAACCCCACACCCTAAACCCTAAACCCTAAACCCTAAACCCTAAACCCTTGACCCTTGACCCTTGACCCTAAGGCGAGGGCGCCAGAGGACTTGGAGCTCTCTTGGAGATGTTCAAGGAGTGCACTTGTCTTTTATGGCTGGTTCTTCGTAGGGAATGAGGGAGTGATGGCCCCAGATTTACCCTTTAAGGGATTATATAGGGGCCCCTCATTCCCTCATTCCCTACTAAGAGCCAGGGGCTTTTTTTTGTTCTTGGAAGTGGTTTTTTAGTGTTCTATTAATCCTTTCTCGGCATGGCCTTGGAGGGCCTTACACTGTCTGTGGGTCTACGCCTGTCGCAAAGCTCTCGAGCAGCCTTCATGTTTTAGGCCTTGGGTTTCGGGTTTCAAGAATTCAGGAGGCGCTTGAGGCTGAGAATCTGGACTTGGGAGTGTGTCGATGAGAGTTTGAGTGCACAGGCTTGCAATCTGACGGCGCTTGCAAAGAGATTGGCTTGCCCGCGGTGTTCGTATTGAGGTCTTGGGTTTGGGATTGCGGTGATGTGGGATGTTTGGTTGAAAAAGGTGAGCAGTTACATGTTACATCTATGACGCAGAGCCGGCCTGAACCGCCCATGAACAAGGGAATCCCCTGAGTTAAGGAAGCCCACAATTAGGGGGGGTTATGTTGAGGGTCCCTGCTTTTCGGAAACCCCCCATGTCCCGTGCCTGGAGCTCCATCGCACCACGCCATCGCTGGCATCATGGCATGGGTTGTCGAAGAAGAGCTGCCTTCGCGTGGGTTGTGTAGAGCTGTGTTTGAGTAGTTCCGTTCTAGAATTCGTCACTGAACTGAGGGCTTGCGTTTGTACTCTACGGGCCTTAATAATCAGAACAAGTTTTTTGTTCTTTCTTTTTTTTTTTTTTTTTTTTTTTTGGGGGGGGGGGGGGGGGGGGGAGGGGGGGGTTATTATAGTATGGGCTAATATGGGGACCATGAGGGAATACTATTCCGACCCCTTTTTTAAAGTGTTCTCAGCAGCCACTTGCTGGATCCAAGAAATGGATTCTGGGTAGCTCCCGGGACAAGGAATTCGGCGTCCGCTGGCATGGCTAAGGGCTCTTCCTAAACCCTAAACCCTAAACCCTAAACCCTAAACCCTAAACCCTAAACCCTAAAGCCTAAAGCCTAAAGCCTAAAGCCTAAAGCCTAAAGCCTAAAGCCTAAAGCCTAAAGCCTAAAGCCTAAAGCCTAAAGCCTAAAGCCTAAAGCCTAAAGCCTAAAGCCTAAAGCCTAAAGCCCTAAACCCTGAAGCCCACCTTGCATCCCAGTTTTTTTTCTGAGGTCAGGGCGCTCTGTGGGGCTCGTGGGGTTTAGGGCTGCTTTTTTCAGGATGATGGGGGATAGGGTTTGGGGTTGAACATTAGAGGCTCCGAGCTTCAAAAGTTGAGAGGCCATCAGAGCTTCAGAAGCTTGTGTTTCGGAGACTGAGCTGAAGAGGCACACTGGGGATCCATAAAACTGGTCACCAGAGCTTTGTCGCGGGTGGGGTCAGGACTGTAAGCCCTGAACTCTAAACACTCTGAACCCGAAAAAAGCCCACATCTTCTGTTAAGAGGTGAGCTTGTTTTGAGTGTGGGGTTTGATAATTTGATAGCACCAGGGTCTACCCTCCTGCGCCAAGACAGTTTCCAAGGATTTGCCTGCGCATCCTTCTAAGACTTTCTGGCGTGGACTTTCTCGAGCGTCGCAGCAGTCAGTATAGCAGTAAGGGACAAGCATTGGAAAGGCAAGAGAGCACGTAACTAATATCCGAGTCATCGTGTGGTGTCTTCAATGGGGTGGTCATACAGTTTAACCGTTTAACCTCGAAGGAACCAAACCCTGAAACCTGAGACCTCTGAACGTCTTCAGGCCCTCCGCTCTTCCCTAAACCTCCCTGAAACCT